GCAGCAGCAGCAGCAGCAGCAGCAGCAGCAGCAGCAGCAGCAGCGTTTGCTGCAATGGAGGGGCTGATTCAAGCCCCCGAGCTGGACACTCTTGAGGAGCAGCTGCTGACGAAAAAAGAAAAGAAAGAAAGAAGCAGCAAAAGGCTGTTGGAAGCAGCAGAAGCAAACAGCACAGAAAGGGCCCTTGCGCTCCTCAAGGAGGGCGCAGACCCCGCCGTCGAAGTAAACCCTAAACCCTAAACCCTAAACCCTAAACCCTAAACCCTACACCCTGAACCCTGGGCCATGAGCTCTTGCTTCAAACGCCGTTTCGCTTGTCAGCGCTGGCCCTTTACAACGCACATTGGGATTCAAGATTTGGGGTTTAGGGTTTAGGGTTTAGGGTTTAGGGTTTAGGGCTTAGGGTTTAGGGTTTAGGGTTTGTATGCAGCCACTGGGCAGCATTCAAGGGACACACACGCATTTTGCATTTGCTGCTGAAGGCGGGGCTCTCTCCTTTTGATACTGACCTCTTCGGAAACACTTTGCTGCACCAGGGTTAGCAGCAGCAGCAGCTGCTGCTGCTGCTGTTGCTGCTGCTGCTGCTGCTGCTGCTGCTGCTGCTGCTGCTGTAGCTAGAGTTGTTGTTGCCACGGACGCATTTGTTGCTGTTGCTGCTGCTGCTGCTGCTGCTGCTGACTCCGCTGGCCTGATCGTTTTATCTTCTTGTAGAGAGCCACCAGAGGCTTAGGGCTCCTGCCGCTGCTGCTGCTGCTGCTGCTGCTGCTACTGCTGCTGCTGCTGCTGCTGCTGCTGCTGCTACTGCTGCTGCTGCTGCTGCTGCTGCTACTGCTGCTGCTGCAGCTGCTGCTGGAGGATCGCTCGAAACAGTAAAAGCCGTACTGGGCCTGGGGGTCCCAGTGGAGGCGAAGAACGCGAGGGGACACACTGCAGCAGCTCTTGCTGCTGTGAGTGTTGCTGCTGCTGCTGCTGCTGCTGCTACTGCTACTGCTGTTGCTGCTGTTGCTGCTGTTGCTGTTGCCGCTGCTGCTGCTGCATCTCCTCCTGCTTCCACAATGGGCTTTGCCGACAAACAGCAGCAGCAGCCGGCAGCCAAGCCAAGGCTAATTACGGGGCTCCTGCTGCTGCTGCTGCTGCTGCTGCTGCTGCTGTTGCTGTTGCTGCAGGAAGACGACTGCCGCGCGCTGCTGGAAGCAGCAGCAGCAGCAGAACGCTGCCCACTAACTGGCATTGCCTTTTCTTATAAACGCATGCGCTACCTCTGTTCCTTCACTTTGGAGTTCTACGCCAAGGCAAACCCTAAACCCTAAACCCTAAACCCTAAACCATAAACCCTTGTCGTAAACCCTAAACCCTGAACCCTTGACAGTGCTGCTACTTAATTTGTCTCAGGAAGCAGTGCGTCTCTTTTGGGTCTTTGAAACCCCCGAATCGACAGACTGCGATAAGCTCATCACCTGGTAAACCCTAAACCCTAAACCCTAAACCCTAAACGCTAAACCCTAAACCCTAGGTTTAAAGTTAAAATCAATCCCTCAGCAGTTTTGGGAAAACTGGCGCGTCGCGTCTTTGCAGAAAAACCCCTGCCAAGTCTAGACTGGTGCCAGTCAGGTTGCTTGCGGCTGCTGCTGCTGTTGCTGCTGCTGTTGCTGGTGCTTGTTCTGCTGTTGCTGCTGCTGCTGTTGCTGCTGCTGCTGCTGCTGCTGCGCAGGTGTGACCTTGCGCAGCGTTCCTCGCTGGCGGCGGAGCAGCGGCTGGTTGCTGCTTTTGAAGAAGGAACCCTAGATGCTCTGCAGCAGGTACGCTGCTGCTGCTGCTGCTGCTGCTTTTGCTGCTGCTGCTTTTGCTGCTGCTGCTGCTGTTTTTGCTGCTGCTGCTTTTGCTGCGGCCGCTTTTGCTGCTGCTGCTTTTGCTGCTGCTGCTTTTGGTGCTGCTGCTGCTGCTACTAAACGGCTAGCTGATAGCTAGCTGGTGGCAAGCTGTTGGCTAGCTAGTGACTAGCTGACGGCTATTTAGTAGCTGGTAGCTAACTAGTAGCTAGCTGGTGGCTAGCTGTTGGCTAGCTGTTGGCTAGCTGCTGGCTAGCTGCTAGCTAGCTGGCAGCTAACTAGCAGCCAGCCGCTAGCTAGCTAGACAGCTAGCAAGCTAGCTACTGGCTAGCCAGCCACTGGCTAGCTAGCTAGCTAGCCAGCGACTAGCTAGCTAGCTGCTGGCTAGCTGCTGGCTAGCTGCTGGCTAGCTGCTTGTCAGGCTTACCGGGAAACTGAAGGCTCGCCGCTGGACTGCCGCGCCGAAGCTTTGCTGCAGAGAGAAACCAAAAGACTCCGCGTAGAGGCCCACATCCGGCGCGCGCTGCTCTTCGCCGTGCGCCTGCTGCTGCTGCTGCTGCTGCTGCTGCTGCTGCTGCTGCTGCTGCTGCTGCTGCTGCTGTTGTTGTTGTTGTTGTTGTTGTTGTTGTTGTTGTTGTTGTTGTTGTTGTTGTTGTTGTTGTTGTTGTTGTTGCTGTTGCTGTTGTTGTTGTTGCTGTTGCTGTTGTTGTTGTTGCTGCAGTTGTTGTTGCTGCTGCCGCTGCTGTTGGCGCTGCTGCTGCTGCTGCTGCTGCTTGTAGTGCTGCTGCTGGCGCAGGCGGCGGTGGTGGTGCTGCTGCTGCTCCTGCTAGTACTGCTGCTGGCGGCGCTGCTGCTGCTGCTGGCACTGCTGATGCTGCTTTTGCTGCTGCTGCTGGCACTGCTGCTGCTGGCAGTGGAGCTGCTGCTGCAGAGGGCTCTGACTGCGCTGCTGTGGCAGCGACTGGCGCTTCTGCTGCTGCTGCTGCTGCCTACGTTCTTGCTGCTGCTGCTGCTGTGGACGCTGCTGCTCGTGCAGCTATAGAGGCTTTCAGCAGTAACATGGCTGTACTTCAGTTGCTGCAGCAGCAGCAGCAGCAGCAGCAGCAAGCTAGACTGTCCCATGCGTTTCAGGAGGAGCTGCAGCAAAGCTATACGAAGCAGAAAGACTCCCAAGAAAGCGGCGAAGCACTGCAGCAGCAGCAGCAGCAGCAGCAGCAGCCAGCGGAGGAAACACCTGCACAGGAGCCAGGAAGCCCAAAGGAGCAGCAGCAGCAGCAGCAGCTGCAGCAGAGTGAAGAGGAGCAGTTGATGCACAATGAGCAGAGTGAGTTAGAGCGGCAAGGGGAGCAGCAGCAGCAGCAGCAGCAGCAGCAGCAGCTTCAAGAAGAGCAAGAGGACTCTCCTCGGTTCTCGCAGCAGGAAGCGCCGCCGTCGCCCCAAAAGCAGCAGCAGCAGCAGCAGCAGCAGCAGCAGCAGCAGCAGGACGCAGACTTTTTGGAGGAATTGACTGCTTTGGTGGTGGAAGGGGAAGTTTGCTGCTGCGATGAAGAGCTGCTGCAGCAGCTAAAGTGCTGCCGCCGGCTTCTCTTTTCGGAAAGAGCTCTTCTCGAGCTGCTGCGCTGCATACACAGCTCGCAAGCCTGCCCCCCCTTGCCGCTCTTCGAGTCAGCTGCTGCTGCTGCTGCTGCTGCTGCTGCTGCTGCTGCTGCTGCTGCTGCTGCTGCTGCTGCTGCTGCTGAGGTTGGTGCTGCTGCGGTGCCGGCGCCGCTGCTGTTGGTGACGCAGATGCTGCTGCTGCTGCTCTTGCTGCGAGCAGCAGCTCAGTGAAGGCTAGATGCCCTGATCTGCTACCGCTCCTGCGGCTGCTGCTGCTGCTGCTGTTGCTGCTGCTGCTGCTGCTGCTGCTTTTTATGTGCCTCAGGGGACTTTGTTTGGAGTGGGAGGAGGCGAAGGCCCTCGGAGCCCCTGAAGGGCTGCTGCAGCAAGCAGCAGCAGACGCATTCAAAACAGCGCACCACATGTACGTTCTGCTGCTGCTGCTGCTGCTGCTGCTGCTGCTACTGCTGCTGCTGCTGCTGATGATGATGATGATGTTGGCGCCTGTTTTTGCCTGAGCCCCGTCGCTGCAGCAGCAGCAGCCCCGCAGCAGCGCAGCGCCCACAGCAGCAGCAGCAGCAGCAAAAGTTGCTTCCTTCTCCGTCTGCACATGCCTTAAATGCTGCTGCTGCTGCTGCTGCTGCTGCTGCAGTTTGCTGCAGGGTTTGTGCGAGCCTCTGGAGCCGCTGCTGGCCCTCAGCAGCTGCAGCTCTTTCCCTCGAGTGCAAAATGGCCCTCTTGCTGCTTTAGAAGATCCAGAGGTTTTCGAGAAGCAGCTGCTGCTGCTGCAGGCAAGCAGCAGGCTAGGGTTTAGGGCTAGGGTTTAGGGTTTGGGGCTAGGGTTTAGGGTTTAGGGTTTGGGGTTTAACTGCAGGCGAAGAGCCTCCAAAACAAAGGCTGCTACTGCGGCATTCAGGCGGCACGGTTTAGGGCTTTAGGGTTTAGGGTTTAGGGTTTAGGCTTCAGAGTTTGGGGTTTAGTCATCAGGGTTTAGGGTTTAGGGTTTAGGGTTTAGGGTTCGGGGGGTTTCGTTGTGCTGCTGCTGCTGCCGCTTTCGCCTCATTTACTTTTGCCAAAAGCTGCTTTTTCCTTATGCCTTTTATTTTGTTTTTATTCTTTTGAAATTATTTATTTTGTTATTTATTTATTTATTTATTTATTTATTTATTTATTTATTTATTTATTTATTTATTTATTTATTTATTTAGCCTTTTTATTTTATTATTTATTTGCCTCTGTCTTAAGGAGGAAATTTATGTTTCAAGAGAAGCCCAAGTGCCCGATGAGCTGCTGCGGGCAGCCGAGTAAACCCTAAACCCTAATCGCTAAACCCTAAACCCTAAACCCTAAACCCTAAACCCTAAACCCTAAACCCTAAACCCTAAACCCTAAACTAGGCCCTAAACCCTGCATTTTTGAGCTGGGTTTCGCGCTCCTCTCGACCGGTTCCACAGCAGCAGCAGCAGCAGCAGCAGCAACAGCAGCAACAGCAACAGCAGCAGCAGCAAGAATCGCCACTGCCTTTTGCTGCTGCTGCTGCTGCTGCTGCTGCTGCTTTCAGGGCTCTCAGCGTCAAAATGGAAAATCTGCTCATAGAGACAAAACGGCTGCAGCAGGAAGCAAAGATGCTCGTAGGCTCTTAAACAAATAAATAAATAAATAAATAAATAAATAAATAAATAAATAAATAAATAAATAAATAAATAATATGGAAGATAAATATACATCTAATTAGATTGTGTGTGCACATGAGCTGCTTCTTTTGCTGCTGCAGCAGCAGCAGCTGCTGCTGCTGCTGCCTTCCACTTGCGTCTGAAAGAACTTCCATCTCTTGAAATTTTTATTTTACTTTAAATAGTTTTTTATATTTCTTTATTTAGTTTATTTAATTAAATTAATTAATTAATTAATTAATTAATTAATTTATTTATTTATTTCTCATTTAATATCTGTTGCTGTGCTGCTGCTTTGTTCGCAGGAGCAGCTCAAACGGAAAAAGAAAAAACATAAAAAGAAGCCCAAAAAAGTAGCAACAGCAGCAGCAGCAGCAGCAGCACCAGCAGCAGCAGCAGAAGCTGCAGCAGCAGCAGCAAAGTGAATGTAATGATGCACTTGAGTGTTTTAGTTTAAAACGGCAAGGAAGAAAGGCCTTGCTTTCTTTGCTGAGGTGCATGCCCACCTCACAGCTGCAGCAGCAGCAGCTGCAGCAGCAGCAGCTGCAGCAGCAGCAGCTGCAGCGGCAGCAGCAGCAGCAGACGTAGCGCCGGGAACGCAGTTCTTGCTGCTGCCACGCTGCTTCTGGCTAGAAGATACCCAACCCTTCCCCTAGCTTAGGTTTTAAAGTTCAGGGTTTAGGGTTTAGGGTTTAGGGTTTAGGGTTTAGAATCAGTGAAAGATGCTCAGTGGCTCCGTTGCAGCAGGCAACTGGTAGTCGTAGGTGCCCACGGTCGGAGATAGAAAGCCCTGCTGCAGTGCAGCAGCAGCAGCAGCAGCGGGGTTGGGTGCAGCAGCAGCAGCAGCAGCGCCGTCAGCAGCAGCAGGGGGCCCCACAGAAGCAAAAGGCGCCAGCGACAGAATTGCTTCTGCAGTCTTGTGGGCCTCTTCTTCTGGCAAGAAGGGGGTTTGTGGCAGCGCAGCAGTTGCTGCTGCAGTTGCTGCTGCTGCTGCTGCTGCTGCTTGCTGCAGCACGTTCTTCGGCTGCAGCAAATCCGCAGGTGCTGCTCCCAGGAAGTCCCCAGCTAGCTGCTGCGCTGCTTCTTGCGGCAGCAGGGGGGAGAGGGTCTGCACAGCTTCTGCAACGGGGGAGAGGCCTGCTGCTGCTGCTGCTGGTCCAGCACGTGTTGCTGCTGCTGCAGCAGCATCAAGCGCTCCTGCTGCTTGCTGCTGGCTGCTGCCCAGCCCGTAAGCTTCAGCAGCAGGAAGCCGGGACCTCAAAAGGCCCAGAGGGCCCAACGGGAGGCCCTCAAACTCGAGAGGCAGCAAAGAGAGTTTGGTGCTGCTGCCTTCGCTGCTGCTGCTGCTGCTGCTGCTGCTGCTGTCTCCCCTCAGCCCCAGAGGCCCGAAAGACACGCCACTCCCCAGGAGCTGCTGTGGCAGCTGCTGCAGCTGCTGTAGGGGCTGCTGCAGCTGCTGAGGCAGCTGCTGCAGCGGCTGCTGCAGCTGCTGAGGTAGTTGCTGCAGCTGCTGCAGAGGCTGCTGCAGCTGCTGTAGGGGCTGCTGCAGCTGCTGCGGCAGCAGCCGCAGCTGCTGCAGGGGCTCCTGCAGGTGCTGTAGGGGCTGCAAAGACAAAGGCAGCTGCTGCAGCTGCTGCTGCAGAGGCCCAGTTAGCGGGGACGCCAGCTGCTGCAGCTGCTGCGGTATCTCCTGCTGCGGCTGCTGCTGCGGCTGCTGCTGCTGCTGCTGCTGCTGCTGCTGCGGCTGCTGTAGTGGGAGCTGCGGCAGCTGCTGCGGGACCTGCTGAAGCGGAGTGCCTGGGAAGTGCTGCTGCTGCTGCTGCAGTGGCTCCACAGGAAGATCGCTGAGGCTATCTTGCAGCAGCTGCTGCGGCGGGAACTGTTGCAGCAGCTGCTGCTGCTGCTGCTGCTGCTGCGGGTCCAGATCAGGCTGAAGAGGCCTCACGCTCAGCAGCTGAGGCACCGGGATACCCACAAATGCGTCTGCTGCTGCTGCTGCAGAGAGAGCAGCAGCAAGCAGAAGGCAAGGGCGAGCGGGCATCGCGGGGCTCTAGAGACTCAAGGGTTTAGGGTTTAGGGTTTAGGGTTTAGGGTTTGGGCGAATTTGTTAAAAAGCCACAATTCAAATTTAAGCGTTCAAATAAAAACCAATTTATTTTGCTGCTGCTGCTGCTGCTGCAGCGGCTGCTGCTGCTACTGCAGTAGTGGCGGAGGGTCCGGGCTCGCCATCAGCAGCAGACTGCTGCTGCTGCTGCTGCTGCTGCTCCTGCCCTATCCCTTCGCTGCCTATCTGCAAGAACTCAGAGCTAAGACTACGCGATGTTTTATGTTACAAGTTCGAGGACGAATATAACGCTAGGGTTTAGGGTTTAGGGTTTAGGGTTTAGGGTTTAGCTCCACTGGATGCTCACCCTCTCCTGGCCCACGGGACACCGAGGTGTCCCTGCTAACGCTAATAAAGGCCCTTTCAAAGTTATACTTTGTTATTTGCTGCTGCTGCAGCTGCTGCTGCTGCTGCAGTTGCTGCTGCTGCTGCAGCAGAGAGCCGACAGCGTGAAAGGATACGCCGGGCCACGAGGTGTACGTACAGCTGAGACAACGCCTGCAGCAGGAAAAGGGAGCTGCAGCAGCGCCGCCAAACAGCCAGTTTAAAGACTCTATGATTAAATAATTAAAAACTAAATAATTAATTTTAAACAATAAATAAAATAAACCACAAAAAGGCGAAACTTGTGGCCAAATTCCAGGCTGTTCGGGGAGCGTCGGGCGCTGCAGCTGGGGGTTGCGAACTGGCTTTTCTTTCGCTTCTTTTTGCTGCAGATTTAAATTAAAAAAACAAAAATATAAAAAATTAATAAATAGTTCAGTGAGACGCAATTAACCAGCGCCTGAAGAACGAGAAGGTCACCCCCAGTCTCGCTTTGCTGCTGCTGCTGCTGCTGCTGCTGCTGCTGCTGCTGCTGCTGCTGCTGCTGCTCGAAGCCTTTTCTGGCAGCACAGGGTGACGGAAACGAGTGTGTAAAAGTGGAAAGTTATTTTAAATTGTTTTTAAAATGAAATATAATCCAATTGACTTACTTGAGCCGCTGAGACATCCGAGAGCAGCAGCAGCAGCAGCAGCAGCAGCGGGGCCGTCAGCAGCAGCATATTTGAAATGGTCTATAAACTAACCATATTGTTCTTTAAAACCTTTCCACAAAGCTCTATCCCCTAAAACCTAAACCCTAGTTCCCAGGCTAAACCCTAAACCCTAAACCCTAAACCCTAAGTGGACAAAAAAGAAGGGTAAGCCAAGGAGTGACCCGGCTGCGGGGCATCAGAGACAAACCCCAGCAAAACCCTAAACCCTAAACCCTAAACCCTAAACGCTAAAGCTCTCTAACTCAATGGCTATCCAAGAGATTGCTTTAGCATTCTAGAGGCAAGTTAAGAAGCTACAAACCCTAAACCCTAAACCCTAAACCCTAAACCCTGCCTGTGGCCGTAGCCGACTGCAGGGGAGCGAAGGTGACCACCCCTCGGGGCAGGGCAGCAGTTCCAAACCCCAAACCCTAAACCCTAAACCCTAAACCCTAAACCCTAAACTCTAAACCCTAAACTCTAAACCCTAAACCCTAAATTTGGCCTTTTTGAGTCCTGAAGAGCCGAAGATGTGGCGAGACGACAGCCAGGCAAAAGGATAGATGGCGCGGCAGCAGCAGCAGCAGCAGCAGCAGCAGCGGCTGCTGCTGCTGCTGCTGGTGACGGCTTCTCCCCCAGGATAGGTCAGGCAGCAGCTGCTGTTGCTGCCTGCGTCTGCTGCTGCTGCAGCAGCAGATCAAACCCTCAGCAACTTCTTTGCTCTTGCTGTTTCTGCGGCCGCGCAGCAGCAGCAGCAGCAGCAGCAGGTAAAAGGTATCTGAATATAAATGCATTTATATTTATATAATTCTTTTGGAATTATATTTATATTTTTGCATTTCCCTTTTCACACTTTCGCAGGTTCTTTGCAAGCTCTCAAGTGACCTCATCGCTCTCCAAACTCAGCAGCAGCAGCAGCAGCAGCAGCAGCAGCAGCAGCAGCAGCAGCAGCGGGAAAATGCGGTTCTTGGGCCTGGGCGTGGGGCTGTGCGTGTGGCAGCAGCTTGCTGCTGCTGCTGCTGCACTGGATGTGTGGGAAGCTCTGGAGGAAATGGCTGTGGGGGCTGGTGTCTTTGAAGAAATAGGAGAGTCAGTATTTGCTGCTGCTGCTGAGCTGCCGCAGCTGCTGGAGTTCAAGGAGGCTCTTTTCGACTACTTCATGGAGGAGGTTGCTGCCAAGATCCAGGCGGAGAAGCAGCAGCAGCAGCAGCAGCAGCAGCAGCAGCAGCAGCAGCCGCAGCAGCAGCAGCAGAAGCTGCAGCAAATCGACCAACTCGCCGACACTTTCTTCCTTTCTCCCTTCGGAGTTTCTCTCCAAGAGGTCAAAGCCCTGCCGCGGATTGCTTCAGCAATTCTGGAGCCCAACGCGAGCACGCGCAGCGACAGCAGCAGCAGCAGCAGCAGCAGCAGCAGCAGCAGCAGCAGCAGCAGCAGGGGGTTCCTGCGCCGCGTGCCCGGCCTCGACCAGGCCGAGCTCGAGGCCCTTGCGGAGTCTGTTGCTGAAAGTGTTGCCAACAGCACTTCTTATGGCTTCCGCACGAAGAACAATTTGGTGTCTGCTGCTGCTGCTGCTGCTGCTGCAGCAGCAAAGAAGAGCGGCGTGGACACTTCCAACCCAGCAGCAGTAGCCGCCTTCATTGCGCAGATCATAGACCCCCTCAAGCTCCTCCAACTGCAGCAGCAGCTCATCGCCCAGGAGCAGCAGCAGCAGCAGCAGCAGCAGGAGCAGCAGCAGCAGGAGCAGCAGCAGCCACAGCAGCCACAGCAGCCACAGGAGCCCCAGCAGCCGCAGGAGCCGCAGGAGCCGCAGCAGCCACAGGAGCCCCAGCAGCCGCAGGAGCCGCAGCAGCCGCAGCAGCCGGAGGAGCAGCAGGGCCAGGAGGAGTCACAGCAGCAGCAGCAGCAGCAGCAGCAGGAGCAGCAGCAGCAGCAGCAGCAAGAGAACACCGAGTCCGCGGAGCCCTCGCCGGAGCCCTCTGAAGAGTCCGCTGCTGCTTCCAACCCCTCAAGCAGCGCAACCCGCCCCGCCCCGCCGCCGCAGCAGCAGCAGCAGCAGCAGCAGCAGCAGCAGCAGCAGCAGGAAGAGGAGGCCGCGGGAAGCCCGCAGCGGTTCAGCCGCACCGCCCCGCTGGGCCCGCTGCAGGGAGCAGCAGATAACTTTTATTTGCTGCAGTGGGCCATTCAAAACCCGCTGGCAATGCTGGAGTGGAGAGCTGTGGTGTACAGACAGTGCTTGCTGCTGCTGCGCAGCGAAGACGCATGCAGCCGCTACCTCAGCGTCGAGCCGCTGGCCCTCAGCCACGGCGGCCTCAACAGCCCCTGGATCCCCAGCAGCAGCGAGTAGCAGCAGCAGCAGCAGCAGCAGCAGCAGCAGCAGCAGCAGCAGCAGCGGCGGCAGGGGAGGCAGCAGCAGGCTGCAGCGCGAAGCAGCTGGGCCACGCGCAGCGGCGGTGCAGGGGGAGAGCAGTTTAGGCTTGACAGGTAGGCGGGCTACGCCCACACAAAGGCAGCAGCAGCAGCAGCAGCAGCAGCAGCAGCAGCAGCAGCAGGTGCTGCTGTTGCTGCTGCTGCTGCTGCTGGAGACCGGCGCTTCGCCAGTCTTGCTGCGGAAGCCTTTGAAGGGATCGCCCGCAGTTTGTGCACTCGGTGTATAGACACCTGGGCACACTGGTTCCCGTTCTGCTGCCAACAGGCAGTATTTGCTGCTGCAGCAGCAGCAGCAGCAGCAGCAGCAACTGAAACTCGAGCTCAAGCAGGTTTTTTCTGGAATTGTGACGTGGAAGCAGCAAATAAATTAAATTAGACTTAAATAATTTAGTTAGATTGGATTATTGTAGAATGAAATGAGTTTCGTTTGGCAGCAGTTGCTGCAGAGAGCAAACCGGAGCTGCTGCTGTTACCTTTCTGCTTCTATTTGTCTCTAGTCTTAGTTTCATTTGCTCGTCTCTAGCCGTTGCTGCTGCTGCTGTTGCTGCTGCTGCTGCTGCTGCTGCTGTTGCTGATGGCCAAAACGTGGGAACAGCGAGCAGCAGCAGCGGCATCGGCAGCAGCAGCCAACAGATGGAGACTGAGATTCCATTTAATGTAGTCAGTGCAGGCACTTAGATCAGCAGCAGCAGCAGGGTCTGCTGCTGCTGCTGCTGCTGCTGCTGCTACCGTGAGGTCACCCCGGGAACGTGAACACATTCACCTCAGCAGCAAAGGGAGTAAGGGCAGCAGCAGCAGCAGCAGCAGCGGCAGCGAGATACACAAAGACCTTAACACAAAAGAAGGGGATGTATCCAAATTGGCAGGGATAAGAGCAGCAGCAGCAGCTGCTGCTGCTGCTGCTTCTTCCGCTGCTGCTCAGGTCACCACCAAGGCGTACCAGATCTAGGCTTCTGCTGCTGCTGCCTCTGCGGAAAGTCATCTCCAATTGAATTAATTGATTTTAAATTTATATTTAAATTTAGTGTATAAATATTTCAGAGGAACTTCAGGCAAAGCGCAGCAAACGACTTGCCTTTCGGGCGCTGCTGCTGCAGCTGCTGCTGCTGCTGCCGCTGCTGCGGCTTCCCCATCTGTCTGTACACTCCAGAAGCTCCAAAGGCTTTCCATTTAGCTAGATCACTTCATTTTTCTTTTGATCTCTTTTTGTCTACGGCGTTCCCCCTCCCCACACTGTGCCGGGCTCTAGCTGCTGCTGCAGCAGCAGCAGCAGCAAAAGCTTTCCGCGCCGATTTCTTGTAGAGCCTTCTACACCAAATCGAGAGGGTCCTCAGCTACAAGAAATGCCTTTTGCTGCCTCTTAAGCAGCACAAGCAGCTGGACACGAGGCGTACATACAACGCAACAGCAGCAGCAGCAGCAGCAGCAGCAGCAATAGCACAGCCGAGATGGAGCCAAAGCCCTCCACACTAAGCCGCTGCTGCTGCAGGCGCAGCAGCAGCAGCTGCTGCTTCAGCAGCACCAAGTGGCGGTCGAGATCCACGTGGGGATCTGCTGCAGTGAAGCCAAGAGGAGCAGCCGCAAAGACGAGAGGCAGCGGCTCTGCTGCTGAGAGTGCAGCAGCAGCAGCAGCAGCAGCGCCGACAGCTAGAGCAGCAGCAGTAGCGGCAGCAAGACAAGCAGCTGCAGCAGCAGCAAGAGCTACTGCAGCAGCAAACGCCGAAAGACGCATTCAGCGGATCCGGCGGCAGCAAAACAAAGGCATAGCAGCAGCAGCAGCAGCAGCAGCAACAGCAGCAACAGGCGGCTGGAGCAGCAGCAGCAGTGACGCATGCTGTGCTTGCAGCTGTGTCTCACCGCGCAGCCGGAGCAAGAGCTATGGTTTGAATTGCTGCTGCAGCAAAGGAGGACCCAGCAGCAGCAACAGGGGCAGCAGCTGCTGCAGCAGCCCTAAAGTCTCCCGGCCTGCTGCTGCTGCGCTGCTGCCGCAGACTACTTCCTGCAACGCAGAGGCAGAGAGGCCACGCTGCTACTGCTATCTTCCCTGCAGCAGCAGCAGTAGCAGCAGCAGCAGCAGCAGCAGCTGCAGCAGCACCCCAAGCTCCGCAGGGCACAGCGCAAGACGGAGCATTTGCTGCAGCGCCAAAGCCGGTTGCAGCAGCAGCAGCAGCAGCAGCAGCAGCAGCTCAGCATCATCTCTGCTGCTCTCCAGCATTGGGGCAAGTGCAACGTCAAGATGCCTTTCTATGCAGGCAGCAGCAGCAGAAGCAGTTGCTGCTGCTGCAGCAGCGAACGAACACGCCGCTGCTCTAACGACCTCTGCTGCAGCAAACATGCCCCAAAGCTGTGGGCGTCCCCCGCAGCAGCAGCAGCAGCAGCTGCTGCTGCAGCAGCAGCAAAGCTTCGCTGTGGAAGAGCTGCTGCGGCCGATGTTGCTGCCTTCATATGATGCAGCAGCAGCACAAGAAGTGCGCGTACACCCCAAGCAATCAGCAGGGCCTGCCGGTTTCTACAAGCAGCAGCAGCAGCAGCAGCAGCAGCAGCAGCAGCAGAAGCAGAAGTACTGCTGCTCAACAGACATATCGACTTTTGGGACAACGGTGGACAGCGAGAGCTGTTGCTGCTGCAGCGGGCACTGCAGCAGCAGCGACTGCGGCAGCAGCAAATTCTGCCACAGCAACTGCGGCAGCAGCAGCAGCAGCAACTGCAGCACTAGCAGCAGCAACTGCAGCAGCAGCAGCAGCAACTGCAGCAGCACGGAGGCCTTCCTTGCTGCTGATGTCGCTTGGTGGCAAAGCCGTGCTGCTGCCTGGAGGCGCCACGCTGTCTCTTCTTTCAAGCAGCTGCAGCAGATGCAGCAGCTCAGCAAAAGCCTGCAGCAGCAGCTGCGCTTCATGCAGCAGCAGCAGCAGCAGCAGCAGCAGCAGCAGCAAAATGGGATCAACCAAGTGCAAACAGCAAAGGCTCGAAATGCCCGAGCACTTTGCCACTGAGAAACCAGCAAGAATGGCTGCTGCTGCCGAAGAAGCTGTTGTTGCTGTTACAAGAGCTGCTGCTGCTGCTGCTGCTGCTGCTGCTGCTGCCAGCCCTCTGCACTCCCTGTAGAGCCCAACGAGCAGCAGCAGCAGAAGCAACAGCAAACACTGCAGCGCCTAAACCGAATGTCAAGCAGAAGCGGCAAAACCAGCAGCAACAGAAACAGCAGCAGCAGCAGTACCGGCGAAGGAAGCAGCAGCAGCAGCAGAAGCTGAAGCAGCAGCAGCAAGCTGCTGCTGCCAGCCTTCTAACACTGAGCCTGCCTCGGGAATGTGCACTGCTTTCCATGCAATTCATCTTCAAATAAAAAACAGATTTTGTCCCTAGTTTCGCAGCAGCAGCAGCAGCTGCTGCTGCTGCTGCTGCTGCAGCTGCTGCTGCTGCAGCTGCTGCTGCAGCAGGCTAGCTGAGAGCAACGACACGGCCTTTGGGCATCTGCAGCAGCTGCAGCGCCTGCCGCAGCGGCATTAGCTGCTCAAGTCCCTGCAGCTGAAAAGCTGTGAAGTAGCACAAGACGGAGCCCTGGACTCTGCCCGTTGCTGCTGCTGCTGCGCCCGTCGCTGCTGCTGCTGCTGCTGCTGCTGCTGCTGCAGCGCCGCCGTCCGCCGCAGCCGGCAGCGACTCCGTCACCAGGTGTACGTACACCTCAGCGCTGCACGGAGGGCCCAACATGATAATCCTTTTGGCCCCACAAAGGCGGTAGCGGCGGTAGAAGCAAAAGCGGCTTGTTGTCACTAGCACTGGCACATCCCCTGCAGCAGCAGCAGCAGCAGCAGCAGCAGCAGCAGCAGCAGCAGCAGTGGGGGGCGCAGGGGGCACGCGACAACGCCTGCCTGCGGCTGCTTCTAGAACGCAACCGCAGGAGCACAGCAGCAGCAACAGCAACAGCCACACTGCCAGCAGCAACAGCAGCAGCTGCAGCAACAAAACCAGCAGCAGCAGCAGCAGCAGCAGCAGCAGCACCTTTGAGAAATGACTGTCTTGCCCTTGAGAGTTTAGCGTTTGAGGTGTACTCGTGGCAGGTCGTGTAGCTGATGGAGTGCTCCTTCAGAGCCACTCGCAGTCTGCAGCAAAGCAGCAGCAACAGCAGCAGCAGCAACAGCAGCAGCAGCAACAGCAGCAGCTGAGGAGTTTACAGCGCCTGCAGCAGCGAGACAGAAAGAGCTTTTCGCAGGCAGGAAGGCGACAGCAGCAGCAATTCTAAAACAGCAAAAGCAACACCGCCTGTAGAAAATGCTGCAGCAAATGCTACAGCAGCAAGTGCTGCAGCAGCAAGTGCTGCAGCAGCAAGTGCTGCAGCAGCAAGTGCTGCAGCAGCAAGTGCTGCAGCACAAGCTGCACGCTGCCTGCTGCCGCACCTGCAGATCTCCAAGTAGGAATTGACCAGCAGCAAAACGCGAGAAGCAGCACCCCCCAAAGTTGGCAGCACATTAGAGCAGAAGTAGTTTATTAGGTCCTGCGACACAAGCAGCAGGCCATGCTGCTGCTGCTGCTGCTGCTGCTGCTGCTGCTGCTGCTGCTGCTGCTGCTGCTGCTGGATAGTTTGTGTCGCTGACGTGGCGCGGGGAAATCGACATAAAGACAAAAAATAAAACAAACAAAAAGAGATAAAAGACAAGAGGAAGGAAAAAGAAAATTAAAAATTAACAGAGACAAGAGGAAAGAGAAGCAGCAGGAAGAGGCGCCGCGCAGCAGCAGCAGCAGCAGCAGCAGCAGCAGCAAGGGCAAGCTGCAGCAGCAAGAAGCTGGAGAGCGGTAGACTGCAGCCAATAAAAAAGGCAGCAGATAAAAGCAGCAGGAACACGGAGCTGCAGCAACGAAATGCGGAAACAACCAGAAGCAGCAGCTAAAAGCAGCAGCAGCAGCAGCAAGAATAAGCAGCAACAAGAACCAGCAGCAATGCGAAGCAGCAGCAACTCGAAGCTGCAGAAGCAGCAGCAGCAGTAGCAACTGGAAGCAGCACCAACAAAGTGTAGCAGCAACAAGCAGCAGCAGTAAACAGGCAGCAGCAACTAGAAGCAGCAACAGCAGCAGCAGCAGCAGCAGCAGCAGCAGCAGCAACCTACTCTCTGAGTATACTTGAAGGCTTTGCAGCTGACTAAACAGAACAGCTGCTGGGCGCCGGCGCGGCTGCAGCGGAGAGTAGCAGCAACAAAGCCTCGTGGCTGTCCTGCTGCTGCTGCTGCTTCTGCTGCTTCCAAGATGGCAGCGTCTGCTGCAGCAGCCGCTGCAGCAACTTCCGCAGCAGCAGCATCTGCTGCCGCGACTGCCCTTGCCGCCTCGCTCCTGCCGTCTGCTTCGCCCGCCTGCTCCCCAGCACTTGCTGCTGCTGCTGCTGCTGCAGCAGCAGCAGCAGCAGCAGCAAGCTCGCGCGAGGGGATGTCCAAAGGCATGCAAACTGCAGCAAGACGCGGCTCAAACAGCTGCAAACAGCCCCTTCTGTTTGCTGAAAAGCCCTGCAGCAAAGCCCCAAATCTGCTGCTTCTCCCGCTGCAGCAAATCACTAGCTGCCGATCTGTTTGCCCCACAGCAGCAGCCATGGAGGGCCGCAGCCGCCGAATGTCGAAAGACGTGTAGCGCTGCGGCGGCAGGTTGCACACCTGCAGCAGCAGCAGCAGCAGCAGCAGCAGCAGCAGCAGCAGCAGCAGCAGCAGCAGCTCGCTGACAACGGCGCCTCCACGAGTGAGGCACAAACCACTGGCACTGCAGCAGCAGCAGTCCCAAGAAGCAGCAGCAGGAGCAGCTGCAGCAGCAGCGGCCTCAACAGTGCTGAGCAGCAGCGGGAGCAGAAACACCAGCAGCAGCAGCAGCAGCAGCAGCAGAACAGCAGCAGCAGCAGACCTCCAAGACCTCCTTGAGGAGCTGCCAGTTCTGCAGCGCGATGATATCTGCCCTGTCAATTATAATGATTTCCAAAGAAGACAAAAAGTCAAATTCCCTCTTTGCTTCGCCCTGCAAGCAGCAGCAGCAGCAGCAGCAGCAGCAGCAGCAGCAGCAGCAGCAGCAGCAGCAGCGGGGACCAGAGATGCAGCGCCAGCAGCAGTCCCAGAAGAGCAGCAGCACCACTAAATCAGAAGCAGCTGCAGCAAAGCATCAGTAGCAGCAAGCCAGCAGCAGCAAAACAGCCGCAGCAGCAACAGAAGAGCCGCCGCAGCAGCAAAATAGCCACGGCAGCAGCAAATCCGCTGGAGCAGCAGCAAAAGAACAGCAGCACAGATGGAGCAGCAAAACTACCGCAGCAGCAGCAAACCAGCCACCTCAGCAGCAAACCAGCCACCGCCGCAGCAAACCAGCCACCGCAGCAGCAAACCAGCAGCAGCAGCAGCAGCAGCAGCAGCAGCAGCAGCAGCAGCAGCAGCAGCAGCAGCACCTTTGCGCCAGTGAGGACGCGGAGGGCGAGGGGAGAAGCAACAAGAATGTCGCTGTCCTGCAGCGAGCAGCAAAGAGAAATTGATTTGCTGCTGAGGCGAAGACCCAGGCTGAAGTTGTCGCTGCTGCTGCCGCCAAAAGTGGCCCTGAAGTCCCGGGGCCGCCGCGCCTTCAGGAAGCTTTGCTGCTGCTCTGCTGCTGCTGCTGCTGCTGCTGCAGCAGCAGCAGCGCCACCCTCTTCAGACGGCCCGAAGGACGCCCGGTACTGCTTCTCGTTCAGAACCTGCAGCAGCAGCAGCAGCAGCAGCAGCAGCAGCAGCAGCATGAACAGCTAGGAAATGCTGCAGCAAACGCGGGAAACGCTGCAGCGGGCAGTGCCAAGCAATGCACCAGCAGCCACTGCTGCTGCTGCTGCTGCTGCTGCTGCTGCTGCTGCTGCTGCTGCTGCTGCTACTGCTGCTGCTGCTGCTGCTGCTGCTGCTGCTGCTGCTGCTGCTGCTGCTGCTGCTGCTGCTGCTGCTGCTGATTGCCTGGAAGCCTTCTGGCAGCATCTGCAGCATGGCATCCACCACTTCTTTTGCTGCTGAGCGGAAAGGCAGCAGCAGCAGCACGCGAGGCCTCGTGTAGCTGCTGTCTTGAAGCAGCGAGCGCAGCCACTCCTCGCATGCAGCAGCACTAAGTTGCTGCTGCTCTGCTGCTGCTGCTGCTGCTGCTGCTGCTGCTGGTTCCGCTGCACAGGGCGCCTCTCTTTCTTGCTCTGCAGCTGCAGCTGCAGCAGCAGCGGCATCTGCTGCAGCTGGTTCTTCTCCTTGCTGCTGTCGCTGCTTTTGCTGCTGCTGCTTTTGCCGCTGCTGCTGCTGCTGCTGCTGCTTTTGCTGCTGCTGCTGCTGCTGGAGAAGCTTGAACTCAAAGAAGCAGCTGAGGTTTCCTTCTGCTGCAGCTCTGTTTACGAGCTGCGTGCGCTGCTGCGCGTCTGCGTCAGCCACAGCAGCAGCAACTTTTGCTGCTGCTGCTGCTCTGCTTCTGGCCTTGAAGCAGTGCCCCAAAGCATGTGCAGCAGCAACACGGCGAACAGCAGCAGCAGCAAAAGGGTTTTCGTGGGGGTAAAGACAATCTGCATAGGAGTGCAGCAAATGGTACAGCCGCTCCAGACACGCGGGCAGCCCGCCCCCGCTGCTGCTGCTGCTGCTGCTGCTGCTGCTGCTGCTGCTGCTGCTGGGCTTGAGGACTGGGTAGTCTGCTTCGGCCAAGGGCGAGCGCTGCTGCTGCAGCAAACGGCGAAGACCCTCAGCAACAAAGTGTGGGGCCCCATAAGCGTCTACGGGGAAGGGGCCCAGCTGTCCGTACACCGCAAGGGGGTCTGCAGGCGCTTGCTGCTGCAGCACGCCCTCGAGGAACGTCTTGCTGCTGCTGCTGCTGCTGCTGCTGTTGGGGGCAGCAGCAGCAGCAGCAGCAACAGCAGCAGCAGCAGGCGAGGCCAGCGCGGGGTTTGGAGTCACGCGGGACAAGCGAGTGGTGAAAGGCGCGCAGTCAGGAAGCGACAAGGTGACCTCCTCCAGCTGCTGCTGCTGCTGCTGCTGCTGCTGCTGCTGCTGCTGCAGGGCGAACGGCGAGGCAGGGCAGAAGGCAGTGCCTGCAAGGCTCTCCACGCATGCGTCCAGAAAGCTGCCTCCAGCATAAGTGCTGCTGCTGCTGCTGCTGTCGCTGCGCTTAGCTTTTGTGCTGCTGCTGCTGCTGCTGCTGCTGCTTCGCTGCTGCACGAACAGCTGCCGCGCAGCAGCAGCAGCGTCGTCCAGCTCCTCGTCGAAAGTGCAGGAGAAGTCTAATGGCGGCAGCGCAGCAGCAGCAGCAGCAGCAGCAGCAGCAGCAGCCCGGTCCCGGTCGCCTTTAGCAGCAGCAGCAGCACCTGCTGCTGCTGCTGCTAGCTGCGCTGCAGCCCTCGCCAGGCCGAAGGCCTCGAGCGTGAACCGGCTCTGCTTTGCTGGATCAGCAGCAGCAGCAGCAGCAGCAGCAGCAGCAGCGTCGTCGTCTTCTGATTCTGCTGCTTCTTCTGCTGCTGCTTCTCCCTCGGATATGTCCTCATCTGCTTCAGTCTCTTCATCTGTTGCTGCTGCTGATTCTGCTGCTGCACTCAGATCCGAGTCTGAAGCAGCATCTCCTGCCTCCCCGTCATCTTGCTGCTGCTGCTGCTGCTGCAGCTCCTCTTCTGCTGCTGCGCTGCTGCTGCTGTCTTCTCCCTCGCTGTCGTCGCTGAGGACTCCCCGTGCTGCAGCAGACGGAGGGACAAAAGCAGCAGCAGCAGCAGCAGCAGCAGCAGCAGCTCCTGCTGCACCCTTGGAGGGGGCAAAGTGCAGGGCCTGCAGCAGGCGCTGCAGCTTCCTTTGGGGCTGCTGCCTGGCAGCAGCAGCAGCTTCTCTGCGCTGCTTCTTCTGCTGCCGCAGCTGCTGCTGCTGCTGCTCCTCGAGCTCCTTCTGCTGCTGCCTGCGCCTTCGTTTCTCTTCCTTTTTCTGCTGCTTCTGCTGCTGCTTCTGCTGCTTCTTCAGCCTCTTCTGCTGCCGCTCTTGCTGCTGCTGCAGCTCAACAGCAGCTTCGTAGCGGCTCAGCAGCGAAAGATATCCCCCCCCCCTTCGCTTGCGGCCAAAGCCCCCCCTCAGCTTCACCTTCTTTGCCATTATCTAAACCCTAAACCCTAAACCCTAAACCCTAAACCCTAGAGCTGAGGCCCTGAAGGCGTTGAAGATCGGCCGCTGCTGCTGCGTCGACGCAGCGGCAGCAGCAGAAGCAAATGCTGCGCCTTGCTGCTGCTAATTGGTGGGCCTTAAGCTGCTTCACCGCAGCTGCAGCAGCTGCCGTTGCTGCTGCTGCTGCTGCAGCCGCAGCTGCAGCAGTTTCTGCTGCTGCTGGGGGGGCCCCCTGTGGGGCCGAGGGCCTCCTGTGTCCTTCTGCTGCGCTGCAGAGGCCCTCTATCAGCTGCTGCAGCAGCTGCAGCAGCAAAATACAATATTACATGAAAACTGAATTCAAATAAAATAAAAAACGTGAAAGGGTCTCTAGATAACGATTGGATCTCCAGTTGTTGCTGCTGGTGCTGCATGCGACAGCAGATCCGCAGCACCGCAGCCGCTCACTAGCAGCAGCAGCAGCAGCAGCAGCAGTAGCAGCAGCAGCAGCGGCAGCAGCAACAATGCAGCAACCGCAGCAACCTGCATCAAATCTCGTAAAATTTTGAAAGTTTGTTGCAGTCGCTCACGCGGAGTGTCTGTTTGACGTGGAGGCATTGCTGTTACGCCTAGCTGCTTCTCAGTCGCTGCTGCTGCTGCTGCTGCTGCTGCTGCTGCAGCTGCTGCTGCTGCTGCTACTGCTAAAGTGGCCGCTGCTGCCACAGCTGTTTTGCTCGCCATCACTGCTGCTTCTTGCGAGTTTGAGCGCCCGTAAGAGGCGGCAGCAGCAGCAGCAACTCCTGCAGCTCAGCTGCCGCGCCTCGCACCCAAACCCTAAACCCTAAACCCTAAACCCTAAACCCTAGGATGTCAGCGCGGGCCCAGGGAGAGAATATGGCCCCGCAGCTGCTGGGGCGCTCCAGGGCGGAGCGGCTGCTGGACGGGGTATATGCGCGGCAGCGGCTGCTGCTGCGGAAGCGGCGGCGGCAGCAGCAGCAGCAGCAGCAGCAGCAGATTCTGCTGCCGGAGGAGCGAGCTGCGAGGCGGCGCGTGCTGATTAAGGCGCCTCCTTCGAAGGAGGAGCAGCAGCGGCAGCAGCAGCAGCAGCAGCAGCAGCGGGCAGCAGCAGCAGCAGCAGCAGCAAAAGCTGGGGTGTCTGTACAGAGGGCCCTGCGCGATCTCATAGAAAAGCACTTCCGCAGCAAAGGAAAGTATGCGAAGGCTGTGCGGCTGCTGCAGCAGATGTGGGGTGCCTACTTCAGCAGCAGCAGCAGCAGCAGCAGCAGACCTTTCTTTGGGGCTCTTGTTGCTGCTGCTTCCTCAGATCTTGCATATTCAGATCCCCAGGGAAGACAGGCTGTGTCTTCTCTTTTCAAGGAGCGCGTGCTGCCGCTGCTGCAGCAGCAGCAGCAGCAGCAGCAGGAGAAGGCAGAGGCCTTCCTCAGACTCGCCGACGCCCGCAAGCAGCAGCAGCAGCAGCGCCTGCAGCAGGAGCTTGCTGCGTCTGCCTTCCCGCTGCACAGCAGCAATTCCAGCTTCTACAGCAGCAGAAGCAGCAGCAGCATGCTGCAGCAGCGAGCCAACGCTGCAGCAGCACAGGACGTGGCGGAAGCTGCTGCTGCGGCTGTCATGCGCGCGGAAATCGCAGCGCAGCAGCAACCGCAGCAGCAGCAGCAGCAAGAGCAGCAGGAACCTGCAGGTGAGGGCGCTGCGAATAGCAGCAGCAGCAGCAGCAGCAGCAGCAGCAGCAGCAGCAGCAGCGGGGCAGCAGAACTTAGCCAAGAGCTGGTAGATTTGCTGCAGCTGCTGCGGGTTCGCTGCGTGGTGCATCCGCAGCTAGAGACAGATGATGCATTTCAGTTTAGTGCTGCTGTTATGGAGCTGCGGCTGCTGCTGCAGCAGCTGCAGCAGCAGCAGCAGCAGCAAGACGAGGAGGAGTCGCTGGAGGAGGGCTGGGACTCCGAAGAAGAAATGGAAGAGCAGAATGCTGAGGAAGAGGCGCCGCAGAGGAAGCAGCCCAGGCTAGAGCAGCAGCAGCAGCAGCAGCAGCAGCAGCAACAGCAGCAGCAGCAGCAGCAGCGAGAGGAGCAGCAGCAGTCCAGTGACCCCAGCGCGTCGGTAGGTCGCCGCAACAGCAGCACAGGCAGCAGCAACGGCGACGGAGGCATCAGCCAAAACAACAGCTCAGCTGACAGCAGCAGCAGCAGCAGCAGCAGCAGCAGCAGCAGCAGCAACGGCAGCAGCAGCAGCAGCTCGGACGGCGTTTGGCGCGTCAAAACTGAGCAAGCGGATAATGCGGGCGAGGCTGAGAAGCCGCCTGCAGCAGCAGCAGCAGCAGCAGAAACAGCAGCAGCAGCAGCAGTTGCAGAAACAGCAGCAGCAGATGCAGCAGCAGCAGCTGGGGGTGCTGCTGCTTCTGATGCTGCAGATAGAGAGGAAGCTGCTGCTGCAGCAGAGGATGCAGTGACGAGAGGCGAAGGGGCAGCAGGAGAGGCAGCAGCAGCAGCAGCAAAAGCAGCAGCAGCAGCAGAGGAAGCAGCAGCAGCAGATGATGCAGCAGCAGAAGAAGAGTGGCCTCTTCCCTTAGGGTGCGGCAGTAAACCCTAGCTGCCAAACCGCTAGCCGTAAACTCTCACCCCCAGGCTCTAAACCCTAAACCCTAGGGCTCAAACCCTAAACCCTAGGCCCCAAACCCTAAACCCTAGGCCCCAAACCCTAAACCCTCAATCTTGAGAAGCAGCCTCACCAGGGAAGCAGTGCTGCGCAGCAGCCGGGCCCTGGCTTCGCAGCCTAGGGTTTACGAGTAGGCCAGGATTTGGGGTTTAGGGTTTAGGGTTTAGGGTTTAGGGTTTAGGGTTTAGGGTTTGTGTGGCTTCAGGAAACAGGCCATTCTCGTGCTGAGCAAATGCTTCTTCCTTGACGCTCTCTCTACAGTCTTTGCATTCCGCACGGTGAGCCGTTATTAGGGTTTAGGGTTTAGGGTTTAGGGTTTGGGGTTTAGGGTTTAAGGCCAAGGGCTAGGGGTTTAGGGTTTAGAGTCTAGGGTTTAGGGTTTAGGACTCGGATGTTCGACTGTAGGTTCCTTGGGCGCGCGCCTCTGTGGATCAGCTCTTCCAGCAAGCATACAGGCATCGGTAAGTGTTGCTGCTGCTGCTGCTGCTGCTGCTGCTGCTGCTGCTAGTGCTGCTTCCAGAGCTGCTGCTGCTACTGCTGCAACCACTGCTGCTGCCAGCACTGCTGCTGCCAGCACTGCTGCTGTTGCTGCTGCTGCTGCTTCTAGCTTGCAGCAGTAATGTTTATTGCTGCAGCTGTGAGTGCAGCGTGTGCTGCTACAGCAGCAGCGCCCTGCGCCGCCGTTGCTGCAGCAGCAGCAGCTGGAGCAGCAGCAGCAGCAGCAGCAGCACGAGCAGCGGGAGCAGCAGCTAGTGCTTTTCTGTGGGGTTGCTGCTTTGCTTTAGGCATCTCTTCAACGACAGCGAGGCGCAGCAAATTGCTGTCTGGCAGGCAGAGCTAAAGGCCAGCTCAGGTGCGCTGCTGCTGCTGCTGCTCTTGCTGCTGCTGCTGCTGCTGCTGCTGCTGCTGCTGCTGCTGCTGCTTTGGAAGCTCGGGCCGGGGGAGTGCAGTTGCAGGTTCACGTGCCGCTGGTCTTGCACTCTGTATCCTTGGGCGCTGTTGCTGCCGTTGCTGCTGTTGCTGCTGTTGCTGCTGCTGCTGCTGCTGCTGCGTATTGAGCAGTGGGTTTCTTTCATCCTGTGTTGCTGCTGCAGCGCCGACAGGCACTGCTGCTGCTGCATTTGCTATTGGAGAAGCAGCAGTTCCTGTCAAAGATGCCAGGGAGGAGAGAATTCTTACCGAACACGGTAAGCTGCTGCTGCTGCTGCTGCTGCTGCCGCTGCTGCTGTTGCTGCTGCCAGTGCTGGTGGTGGCGGTGCTGCTGTTGCTGCTGGTGCTAATGCTGACGGTGGTTGTGCTGCTGCTGCCGCTGCTTCTGGTGCTGCTGCTGGCGCTTCTGGTGCTGCTGCTGCCCGTGCTGCTGCTGCTGCTTCCGCTGCAGTTTGGTGTGCTGCTGCATGGTGGAGGTGCTGCTGCTGCGTAGTGGAGGTGCTGCTGCTGACGGGAAGTGCTGCTGCTGCTGCAAAACGTTCTAGTGCCTGTGCAGCCGCAGCGTGACTAGCTGCTGCAGCGCAGCAGAGATCTGCTGCTGCTGGTGTCTCCGCCTTCTTAAGGTGCTTTGCTGCTGCTGCTGCTGCTGCTGCTGCTGCTGCTTCTGTTTTTTGCAGGCTCAGTCACCTGGTCTCGTAAGCAGTGCGGCTGCTGACCTGCAGCAGCAGCAATGCAGCTGGATCGAGTGTCTCTGCTGTATGCAGCAATAGCAGCAGCAGCAGCAGCAGCGGCCGCACTTCCGCAGCAACAGCAGCAGCAGCAGCAGCAGCGGCCGCACTTCCGCAGCAGCAGCAGCAGCAGCGGCCGCACTTCCGCAGCAGCAGCAGCAGCCGCAGCAGCCCGTGCTGCCGCTGCTGCTGTTGAAACATTTTTAATTTTAGCTGGCAGCAGCAGCAGTAGCTTGCTACTGCTGCATGTGCAAAACAGTGAGGTGTATGTTCACCTCATTCCATTTGGTTGCCGCAGCAGCTGCAGCAGCAGCTGCAGCAATAGCAGCTTCAACAGCAGCAGCTGCAGCTGCAGTAGCAGCAGCAGCAACAGCAGCAGCACTCCTGGCTCTCGCCAGGGAGTGCGGCGTTTGAATAGAGCTTTCTTCCTTTGTTGTATTTGCTGCATGCATTTAGCAGCAGCAGCAAACGCTTCTTGTCATTTGGCTATTGTTGCCGTGCAGTTTTATTCCTTTCGTCGCTGCTGCTCGCGTTGCTGCTGCTGCTGCTCGGAGTGCTGCTGCTGCTGCTGCTGCTGCTAGGCCTGTGCTTTTAGCAAGCGCAGACACCGAAGGTTCAGCAGCTACGCAGCTGCTCCGCGCAGCGCAACGTCTCCTGACGCTGCTGCTGCTGCTGCTGCTGCTGCTGTTGCTGCTGCTGCTGCTGCTGTTGCTAGTAGTTAGCACCGACTGGCCAGCAGCCAAGTGCCTCAGCAGCCTATCGCTGCTTGTTCTGGGTTTGCTGTTCTTGCTGCTGCTGTTGCTGCTGCTGCTGCTGCTGCTGAGGAGCAAGTAAGAAAGGCAAAAGAGGCCCCAAAGAAAGGTTTGCTGCTGCTGCTGCTGCTGCTGCTGCTGAAACAGGCACTCCACATCTGCTGCACGCAGCAGGCCAGCAGGCAGCAGGTTTTGCGCCTGTTGTTTGCTGCTGCTTCTTGTTTGGGTCTGCTGCTGCTGCGTGCCTAATTACTGCTGCTGCTGTTTCTTTTGGTCTGCTGCTGCTGCTCTATTTGCTGCCACTTCGCTGCTCCTCTGCGTCTGCCTTCTGCTGCTGCTAAGCTGTGCTGCTCTTTGGGGGCCCTAGATGACGGGCTCCAGAGCAGCAGCAGCAGCAGGTGCAGCAGCAGCAGCAACAGGTGCAGCAGCAGCAGGTGCAACAGCAGCAGCAGATGCATTATCGACAGCAGCGGGTGCGCCAACAAGGGCAGCAGGCGTATCAGCAGCAGCAGCAGCAAATGTGCTTCTGTATCTCTATTGCGTGGGCCCGCAGCATCAGCAGCAGCAGCAGACAAGTGCCTCAGAAGCAGCAGATGCATCAGCAGCAGCAGCAGCAGACAATTGCCTCAGCAGCAGCAGCTGCATCGGCAGCAGCAGGCAGTCTAAAGCTTGTTGCAGACACCAAGAGTTTAAAACTGCATTGAAATAATAATACTAATACTAACAACAGTAATAATAATAAATAAATAAATAAAAATAAATAATAAATAATAAATAATAAACAATAAATAATAAACAATAAATAATAATAATAATTAATTTGATGCCTCCAGACGCACTCGTGCGGCTGCAGGCCTGAGGTGTACGTACACCTCAAAAACCCCACAGAGGCGCTTCTCGGCCATCTGCAGCAAAGTAGCTTTCCCCGGTTCAAAACAACTAGATCTAAGCTGCTGCTGCTGCTGCTGCTGCTGCTGCTGCTGCTGCTGCTGCTGCTGCTGCTGCTGCTTATCCTAACGCTGCTGCCGATAACGCTGCTGCTGCTGCTGCTGCTGCTACTCGAGAGCCACCTGAGCTCCAGCGGCCTCCAGCTTCGCCTTCAGCTTCTCGGCCTCAGCAATCGGGACACCTGCAGCAGCAGCAGCAGCAGAGCACAGCAACAAGCGTCAGCAGCAGCAGCAGCAGCAGAACAACAAGCGTCAGCAGCAGCAGCAGAGCACAGCAACAAGCAGGAGCAGCAGCAGCAGCAGAGCACAACAAAAAGCGTCAGCAGCAGCAGCAGCAGCAGCAGAGCACAACAACAAGCGTCAGCAGCAGCAGCAGCAGCAGCAGCAGCAGCAACAGCAGCAGATACACGGGAAGAGCAGCTCGCCTCCCCTTCAGTAAGCACGGTAGATTAATGAATAATAAAAGAATAAATAAATTAAAAAATAAAAAATAATAAATGAGTTTAAAATGAATTCACTGATGAATATTAATGAATGAATAAATTGCACATCAAATGACAAATAATAATAAAAGAATTAAAAAAAAGAAGAAAAATAAAATAAAATAAAATCAAATAAATCAAATAAAAGAAATAAAAGAGCAGCAAATAAAGAAATAAAAGAAATAAAAGAACAAAGAAGCAGCAAATAAAGAAAAATAAAATAAAGAGCAGCAAATAAAGAAACAAGAAGCAGCAAATAAAGAAACAAGAAGCAGCAAATAAAGAAACAAAGAGCAGCAAATAAAGAAATAAAGAGCAGCAAACTAAAACAAATAATAAACAGCAAATTGAAAGAAACGAGAGAAATAAAACAAATAAGGAGCAGCAAATAAATAAATAAGAAGCAGCAAAAACAAATAAAATAAAACAAAATAAATAAAGGAGCAGCAAATCAAAAACAAGAAGCAGCAAATGTAAAAAGAGTTCTTTCCTTTTTTAATTATTTTGGGGGATTGTTCAACAAGTTCTTTTGCTTCCTTCAATCCAAGAGCAGCAATTGCTCGGACTTCTTTCACAACAGCAACTTTTTTGCTGCTGTCAAACCCCAGCAGCTTCAGAGTCACTGCTGCCTTCTTTTCTGCTGCAGCAGCCCCACAAGCAGCAGCAGCAGCAGCAGCAGCAGCAGGAGCAGCAGCAGCAGCAGCAGCGAGGGCGTCAAGCTCAAAGCAGCAGCACACACAGGGTGAGGCTTGCTGCTGCAGCAGCAACTGCAGCAGCAACTGCAGCAGCAATTGCAGCAGCAGCAGCAGCAGCTGCTGCTGCTGCTGAGAGTGTTCGGGCTGTTGCTGCTGCTGCTGTCGCGTACCTTCTGGAGGTGCAGCAGCTGCGGAGCCACCCGCTGCTGGTGCTGCTTCTGCTGCTGCTGCAGCAGCAGGAGGAGCAGCAGCAGCAGCAGGCATCGCCCCTCCAGCAGCAAACCTGTGGGGGAAAGAACGCCACACACAGCAGCAGGGGCAGCAGCAGCAACTGCAGCACGAGCAACTGCAGCAGGGGCAGCAGCAGCAACTGCAGCAGGAGTTCAAGCGGTACGCAGGAGAAACACAGAAGCAAATAAACGGCAGCAGCAAAAGTGACAAAAGGAATTAAAATAATAAAAGAAATTAAAATAATAAAAGGAAATTAATAAAAAGAAATTAAAATGATAAAAAGAGATTAAAATAATAGAATAAATTAAACGGAAGAGAGAAGACACAACTCTAATAACATGAAGCAAAATCAAATTAATAAAATGAAATAAAATAAAATAAAATAAAATAAAATAAAATAAAACAAAATAAAATAAAATAAAATAAAATAAAATAAAATAAAATAAAATAAAAAGAAGCAAGAAGAAAAAAGAAACAAAAGAAAACAGAGGCGAGTCCAATGCGCTGGGGCAGCAGCAGCAGCAGCAGCAGCCACAGCAGCAGCAGCAGCAGCAGCAAAGACAGCCAGGGACCGAAGGAAGCTAGAATAAAAACAAGTAATTAAATAATCAATTAATCAATTAATTCAACATTTATTACTAATTATTTATTTATTTATTTATTTATTTATTTATTTATTTATTTATTTATTTATTTATTTATTTATTTATTTATTTATTTATTTATTTAAAAAGCAAATAAAGAAAGCAGCAGCAGCAAATCGGAGAAGACCCCGTAAACCAAGAAAGCAGCAAACAGCAAATAAACAAATAAATAAATAAAACTAATCAATTAGCTAATTAATTAATTAATTACTTAATTAATTGATTAATTAATTAATTAATTAATCAAACAAACAAATAAACAGATAAATAAATAAAATAATTAATTAATTAATTAATTAATTAATTAATTAATTAATTAATTAATTAATTAGTTATTTAATTACCCAAAACCCCCAGCAGCAAGTTGGCCAGCAAAAAGACTGGAGGGGTGGGGGAAAGGAGAACGCCCAGCAGCAACAGCAGCATTAAACGCGGGGCCTGCAAACCCTAAACCCTAAACCCTAAACCCTAAACCCTAAACCCTAAACCCTAAACCCTAAACCCTAAACAGCTGTCGTAAGCCGGAAGTGTTCGACGAGGTAGCGTCGAACGCAGGCTGTAAACCCTTAGTCTACAGCCAAGCCAATCCCTAAACCCTAAACCCTAAACCCTAAACCCTAAACCCTAAACCCTAGGGCCCCGCCAGCCCTACCGCCTCCTCGCTGCGCCAACTTCTCCTGGCAGAGGTCGCAGAGATCTGCTGCTTCAATTAGCGTCAAGTTCATCACCTCATCAACAAGGCGCAGCACCTGCAGCAGCAGCAGCAGCAGCAGCAGCAGCAGCAGCAGCAGCAGCAGATGAAGCAACGGCAACTGCAGCAGCAGCGGCGGCACGGGCGGCAACAGCAAGTGCGGCAGCAGCAGCAGCAAAGACGGCTGGGCCACTTGTGCAGGGCGCAAGGCCAGGCAGCAACCGCAATGGCAGAAGCAGCAGCAGCAGCAGCAACACGAACTGCAGCAGCAGCTGCTGCTGCTGCACCTTCTCTGACGGCTTCCGCGCAAGCTCTGTGGACTCTCCGCTGCCTGGCGGGTCCTGCAGTTTCTTGAAGATATCATATGAGGAAGAAAATGCGGCTTGCATGCGCTGCTGCTGCTGCTGCTGCCGCTGCAGCAGCAACTCCCGCTGCGGCAGCAGCAGCAGCCGCTGCTGCGCACAGCGGCTAGCGCCCCGGAACATTTTACTTCGCAGCTAGGCGAACCCCACAGGCATCAAACCCCAGCAGCTTCTGCTGCTGCTGCTGCTGCTGCTAGCGCCCCTGCTGCCGCTCTTGCTGCTGCTCGCGACCTGGCTGTTGCTGCTGCTGCCGATGGCTGGGCCCCTGCTGCTGTTGCTGCTGCTGCTGCGCTATGCTTATAGTGCACCCTTGGGCCATTCAGTGATGTTTTCTGTCTAAAAGAGCAGTCTAGGCTGCTGCCGACTGCAGCAGCAACAGCAGCAGCAGCGCGATGGCGCAGAGCAGCAGCGAGCAGCAAGGGCAGCAGCAGCAGCACAGATGCAGCACCGTGCTGCTGGCCGCTTTAAAAAGCAGGTATTAAAATGCCAATTATTTATTTAACTCTTCGCGGGCTCTAGTATTCGTGCATGCAGCAGCAGCAGCTGCTGCTGCCGCTGCTGCTGCTGCTGCTGCTGCTGCATGCGAGAGCACAGGCAAGAGACTCACTCGGCTGCAGCCGCTGCCGCCTCAGAGCAGCAGCAGCAGACACAGCAGCAGCAGCCTGTGTTAAAACTTATCCTGGGGTTTAATATGCACCTTATGCCTTTGTAGGCATACTCAACTGCTGCAGCAGCAGCAGCAGCAGCAGCGCACTGCTCCCAGCTGTGCCTGCGGTGTCTTGACAGCGCCACAACGGCCCCCATCGACCCCCGGCAGCAGCAGCAGCAGCAACAGCAGCAGCAGCAGCGCCAACTGTTTCTCAACAGTAAAGACACATCAGTTGCTGCGAACCGCCGCTGCTGTGATGCGGCTACAGCAGCAGTCGCTGCTGCTGCTGCTGCTGTTGCTGCTAGGGGGGTCTGCCGCCCCGAGAGCAGCAGCAGAACAGCTCGCAGCAAGAAGGCCTGGAGATGTAGCAGCAGCGGCAGCAGCAGCAGCAGCTCCCGCAGCTGCTGCTTTCCCACAGCGCCCTTTTCTTGCAGCGCTCTCGCTGCCTTCTGACCCTACAGCAGCAGCAGCAGCAGCAGCAGCTGCTGCTGCTGCTGCTGCAGGGGACAGGCGCATGCGTTTTGCCACAGTGCTGCCGCGCTCTTCGAAGCCGCTGTGTCGCGTGCAGCCAGCAGCAAGCAGCGCAGCAGCAGCAACAGCAGCAGCAGCAGCAAACAGCGCCCCTCTGCTGCTGCCTGCAGCTCGCCCATTGGGTTTTGGCTTCAACTGGGGCAGCAAAAAGCAGAGAGAAAGGGAAGCAGCAGCGGCAGCAGCAGCAGCAGCAGCTGCTGCTGCTGATGTTGAGGCCTCAGAGTCGGAGCAGCCCTTGCTGCTGCAGCGCGCAAAGGGTGCCCTGCAGCTGCTGCAGCAGCAAGTGGGCGGTTTGGCTGTGCTGCTGCTGCTGCTGCTGCTGCTGCTTTTTCTGCGCTTGTTGCGTTCTCCTCTACCCTGTTTCTTTGGCTGCTGCTGCTGCTGCTGCTGCTGCGTGTGGTGCCCAGGTGGTGTATGCTGCTACTTGAGCCGCTGCTGCTGCTGTTCCGCTGCTGCTGCTGCTGCTGCTGCTGCTGCTGCAGGTGCGTCTGCAGCTGCAGCAGCACGAGCCCGAGCTGCGGGTTGTGGGGCGGTCTCTAGGGCGTTTGCTGCTGCAGTGTGCTGCCAGTTTGCTGCGGGCCAATTTGCTGTCTGCTGCGCTGCTGCTGCCGCTTTGTGCTGCTTCTGGCTTCGGCAGCAGCCTCGCCCGCGTTCGCCTGGATGACCCCTTCCTGCTGCAGTGCGTTGCTGCTGCTGCTGCTGCTGGTCGTGCTGCTGCTGCTGCTGGTCTCGGTGCTGCTGCTGCTCTTCAGCTGCTGCTGCTGCGGCGCTTCCTGCCGTCTCTGCTGCTGGTCTTCCTGCTGCTGCTGCTGCTGCTGCGATCTCCGCCGCCTCTGCTGTTGCTCCTTTACTGCAATAGCTGTTTCTGCTGCTGCATTTCTTTCTGTTGCTGCTGCTCTTGCTGCTGCTGCTGCCGCTGTTGATGCTGCTTCTGGTGCTGCTGCTGCGGCGGCCACTGCTGCGCTGCTCGGGTGCATGTGTGACACGTCTACTTTGCTGCTGCTGCTGCTGCTGCTGCTGCTGCTGCTTTCAGGCAGTTGCAGCTCCCAGCGGGAGCAACCCCCGCACTTTACGGCCTAAACTTCATTGAGGTATGGCTACGGCCTTGTTGCGGCTTTTGCTGCTGCTGCTGCTGCCGCTGCTGCTGCTGCTGCTGCTGCTGCTGCTGCTGCTGCTGCTGCTGGGGTGTGTGCAAGCCCTGTACATACATTTGGTGTTTCTGCGACTCTCAGGTGTCCATTCCTTTAAATGAGGCCATCGGTAGTCAATTTAGAGAGGGAGGCGCACTGCAGCAGCAGCAGCAGCAGCAGCAGCAGCCGCAGCAGCAAGCGCAGCAGCAGCAGCAGCCAGTGCAGCAGCACCAGATGCAGCCAGGGGGGGTGAGTGCGCCCCTCTACGTGGACCTTCCGGGCAGCGAGGGCTTTGCGGCAACGCAGCAGCAGGTGCAGCAGCAGCAAGCACAGCAGCAGCAGCAGCAAGCGCTGCCTCAACAGCAGCAGCAGCAGCAACAGCAGCAGCAGCAGCAGCAGCTTCAGGGATGGATGATACCTGCGGAGCAGCGCAGCAGCAAAAAGGCTCTGATCTGCCTGCACGGCTGGCTCTCTAATCGACAGGCCTGTTTGCCCTTTGTCGAGGCAGCAAAGCAGGTACAGCTTGCTGCTGCTGTTGCTGCTGCTGTTGCTGCTGCTGCTGCTGTTGTTGTTGCTGCTGTTGCTGCTGCTGCTGCTGTGAGTGGTGCTTCTGCCTGCCGTGCGGTGGCTTCTCTCTTTGCTGCTCTCGTGCTTTTGCTGCTGATGCTGCTCTAACTGTTGCTGCTGACGGCTTATGGAAAATTGGCCGCACATTCATTTGCTGCTGCTGCTGCTGCTGCTGCTGCCGCTGCTGCAGCTGAAGCTGCACCGCGACCACCACATTCTGCTGCTGGACATGCGGGGCAGCGGGGAGTCCTCTGCTTTCCGCCGTGCTGCTGCTGCAGCAGCAGCAGGCAGCAGCAGCAGCAGCAGCAGCAGCGGGGAGGGCTGGGCCGTGGAGGGCGCCGTGTCGCAGCTGGCCATAGACAGCCGCGAAGACTTAGCAGCAGCAATTCGTTTCCTGCAGCAGCAATTTGGAGTTAAAGAAATTGGAGTTTATGCGCAAGGGGGAGCAGCAATGGGGGTGCTGCTGATGGTAAAGCCCCTGCTGCTGCTGCTGCTGCTGCTGCTGCTGCTGCTGCTGTTCAGCTTGCTTCTTCTTTGCGGCTGGGGTGTGCTACTGCCGCGTCTGCTGCTGCCGTCGAGCCGCTGCTGCTGCTGCTGCTGCTGCTGCTGCTGTTTGCAGGGGGCAGAGGCCGACTGGCTGCAGCAGCAAGGAGTTTCTCTCCAGCGAGTGCTGCTGGACTCTCCCATCTGCAACGCGCGGCTGCTGCTGCAGCAGCAGCCTCCAATTCGTCCCATTGCGCGTTCGGTGCTGCTGCTGCTGCAGCACTTGTCTTGGGGCCTGGGCAGCAAGTAAGGCGCCTTGCTGCAGCAGCAGCGACGCAGCAGCGTCAATTACTTCACCAGTAGCAGCAGCAGCAGCGCCTCCAGCGGCTGCTGCTGCAGCGTTTGCTGCTGCCCCCAGTGCTGCTGCAGCTAATGCGGCAGCAGCTAGTGCTGCAGCAGTTCAAGGTGCAGCAGCTTGAACTGCTGCAGCAGCAAGTGCTGCGACAGCCAATGGAGTGGCAGCAGCCACAGCAGCAGCTGCAGCAGCAGCAGCTGCTGCTGCAGCGGCTGCGGCAGCAGCAGCAGAGTTTGCGGATTGTTGCTGCTTCAGGCGGGCTTCGCAGCTGCGGCGCATTCGGTCTTGTTCAACTTTGAGCTGCTTGAAAGGAACAAAAACGACAATTTTAGTCAGCCAGAATGACAGGCTGAGGGTTTGGCCGCTGCTGCAGCAGCAGCTGCTGCTGCTGGACGAGAGCATGCGCCCGCGGTCCGTTCTTCGCTGCTGCTGCTGCTGCTGCTGCTGCTGCTGGTTGCGTGGATGCAGCAGCTGGAGCTTGTGCCCGTGCACATTGTGCTGCTGCTGCTGCTGCTGCTAATTGCATGGAGCAGCAGCTGCAGCTTTTGCTCGTGCGCATTGTGCTGCTGCTGCTGCTGCTGCTGCTGCTGCTGCAGGGCGACCTACTTGCTGAGCCACGGGGACCACTGCAACTTGGCAGCTGCGAACCCGGGCGCCTTCCGAGCAGCAGTTGCTGCTGCCTTCTCTAGCCCCTCGCTGCTGCAGCGGCTGTGGCAGGGGCTGCTGCCAGCAGCAGCAAGGCTTGCTGCTCCCCCAGCAGACTCTGTGCTGCTGACCCCCCGAGACTTCTCCAACATGCAGGAGCAGCAGCAGCAAATCAAACTCCACGAGCAGCGGCTGCGGCAGCGAGAAAGACAGGTGCGCCTCAAGAAACGGACGTGGGACATCTGCTGCAGCTGCAGCAGCAGCAGCAGCAGCAGCAGCAGCAGCAGCGGCTTAAGCTGCAGGTGTGCTATCGGGGTTGGCTGCGTGCGCCGCAGGAGGAAGAAGAGGAGCTGTTGGAGGAAGCCGATGCAGAAGACCGAGAAGACTACTAACTGCTGCTGCTGCTACTGCTGCTGCTGCTGCTGCTGCTGCTGCTCCAGCTGCAGCGGCTGCTGGGCGGTCTCGTAGATGAGACTGTGGCCGAACAGCAGCACTAGTAAGGCAGCACACACTTGTATAGTAGCGGGCGCTGCTGCTGCTGTTGCTGCTGCTGTTGCTGCTGCTGCAGACTGGCGAGCAGCCGTTTCTCGTTTTTGTCTTGGAGCTGCTGCTGCTTCTCCCAAGGCGGGAACAGCAGCAGCAGCAGCAGCAGCAGCAGCAGCAGAGCCGCGCTGTGGGCTTAGAGTTAAGGGCTACAGACTGTCGAGGGATTGCCTTGCTGCCTTCGCTGGGACATTTTCTTTTGTTGTCTTTCCTATGTTGCTGCATGTGCGTGCTGTAGCTAGCTGTAGCTAGCTGTAGCTGACTTGGCTAGCTAGCTAGCTGTGAGTATCTATGGCTAGCTAGCTGGATCAACCTGTAGGTGTCCGGCTAGACTAAAGGCTGCGGCTAGCTGTGGACGGCTGTAGGTAGCTAGCTGTGGCTAGCTAGCTGTAGCTAGCTAGCTGCAGTCAGATAGCCATAGCTAGCTAGCCGCAGCTGGATGGATGGCTAGCTAGTTCCGTGGGTGACGCGACAAGACCCAGCTAGCTAGCCGCAGCTGCCCACAGCTAGCTAGCTGCAGCTGCCTACAGCTAGCTGAGGACTGGCCCTCAATTAAGAAGCAGCAGCCATTTAGGAAGCTGTAGAGAAGGTCTTCTCAGCCAGACTCAGAAGCAGCAGCTGCTGCTGCAGCAGAAAGCAGCAGAGTGGCTGCAGCGGCTGCTTCCTGCCGCTGCTGCTGCTGCAGCACCAGCTCAGTCCCTGTTGCGGCTGATACCCAGAGCTGCCTACATGGCTGCTTTTTGCTGCAGCAGCTAGCTGCACGAAATTTCGTGCAGCTTTTCGTCCGCAACTGCAGCAGCAAGAGCAGCAGCAGCAGCAGTAGCAGCAGCAGCATATGTGTTATCCATCCCCTGCCTGCACACTCGCCCTGACGGCGACAACCCTTGCAGCAGTAAGTGCTCAGCAGCAGCAGCAGCAGCTTCAACAGCAGCAGCAGGGCCCCAGGGGCCCCCCGGGGCCCCACTGGCAAGCTGCAGCTAAGAGGGCTTCAGACAATTAGTAGACCCTTAACAATCTGGAGCTGCGCTCGAGAGCAATGCAGCCAACAGCAGCAAGGGCAGCAGCAGCAGCAACAGCAGCAGCAGCAGCAACAGCAGCAGCAGCAGCACAGAAGACAGGACCACAGGAGGGGTGTGGGGCAGGGACTCCGGGGTTTGCGTCTAGCTGCAGGACGCCATGCAGCAGCAGCAGCTTCTGCAGAAGACAGGAGCTGCAACAGCAGCAGTTGCTGCTGCTTACACCTCGCAGCAGTCTGTGTGCCGTAGCGGCTGTTGCTGCTGCTGCTGCTGCGCCTGACTGGTTGCTGTTGCTGGCAGCAGCGACTGCAGCGCAGCGGTTGCCACGCACATTGCGTTAAAATGAATATTAAGCAACAGCAAATCCATCAGGGACGGCAGCAGCAGCAGCTGCGCCGATCAGCGAGGCCCTCACGCAAGCCCCAAAGTGTAGCAGCAGCAGCAGCAGCAGCAGCAGCCAGAGTACACAATGTGTTAATAGATTTGGTTAGATATTTTTTCGCGCACCCTATTTAATGCTGCAGTATAATTGAATTGAAGCCTTCAGAGCGCCACCAGCGCCAGTTGCTGCAGCAGCAGCAACAGCAACTGCAGCAGCAGCAGCAGCAGCAGCATTACCGGCTGCTGCCCAGGGGAGGCTGAGCACGTCGGCGGTGCTAGGCCTTACAAAGCAATAAAGCGAAAAGCTTTTATTTTCTGTCTACTTTCTGTAGAGTCTGTTGCAGCAGCGTATACCCGCAGCAGCAGCAGCAAAACGCGAGAGAATACCAGCAGCAACCGCCTGCAGCAGCAGCTCGGAAGGGCCGTTGCTGCTGTTGTTGCTGCTGCTCCAGGGGCGCTCCCCGTGTCTCCTTTAAAGACAGGGATTGTGGCGCCCCGTAGCTCGCGCAGTGCTCTGCTGCGCCGCCGCAAGCAGCAGCAGCAGCAGCAGCAGGTGCAGTTAATGCAGCCGCTGCAGCTCCTGCAGCCAGCTCTACTGCTGCGTCGCTTGCCTAGAGCTTTTTGCAGTGTATGTACACCCCGACTAGCCCAGGGTGTTAAGGCGAGCTGCTTGAGCTTCCTGTTGGCCCAGTTGCTGCAAGGCACGCATAAGCAGCAGCAGCAGCAGCAGCGGCAGCAGCAGCAGCAGCCAGCTTAGATTTTTGACTAAGGCTTTAGATCTGGAGAGAAGGGGAGAATAGAGCGCAGTATAGAGACAGTGCTTTGAACGCAGCAGCAGCAGCAGCCGCAGCAGCAGCAGCAGCGAAAAGAGCAGCTGGCAGGCTACCGCGGCACCAGCAGCGCAGCAGCACGGCCGCCTTCTGCAGCAGCAAGGAGAGCAGCGCGCGCAGCAGCAGCAGCAGCAGCAGCAGCAGCAGCATGTGCAGCACCGCTAGAGGCCAATGGCGAGTGGCTGGAGCCCAGACTTCCTGCAGGCCTCCGCCGCCTGCCTGTGGCAGCAGCCGCTGCTGCAGCCGCAGCGGGAGCTGGAGCAGCAAGACGCGCAGCAGCAAGGTGACCCGCAGCAGCAGCAGCAGTGGGCTGAGGGGTCGGAGCAGCAGCTGCTGCAGCGGCGGCAGCAGCAGCAGCTGCGGCTCGACGACGGCGCGGGCGCAGACGCTGCTGCTGCGTGTCTGCAGCCGCCGCGTACCTACGCGGAGCAGCAGCAGCGGCAGCAGCAGCAGCAGCTGCTGCTGCTGCAGCAGCAGCACCAGCAGGAGGAGCAGCGCCGCCACCTGCAGCGAAATCTTATGCAGCAGCTGCAGCCACCAGAAGGCCTCCATTGCGGGCCAGCGGGCCGTTTGGCTCTGAAACAGTTTTTTGAGCGTGAGTTCGGGTGCACAGCAGCAGCAGCAGCAGCAGCAGCAGCAGTAGCAGCCGCTGCTGCTGCTGCTGCTGCTGCTAGAGCTTGTTCCTCAGTTTTGTGGTGCTGCAGCTGGGGCTTTCTTTGGAGCTGCAGGTTGTGCTGTATTCGCCCGCTCTGCTGCTGCTGCTGCTGTAGGCGCAGCAACTGCTTGCTTCGTTTGCTGCTGCTGTTGCTGCTGTAGGCGCAGCAACTGCTTGCTTCATTTGCTGCTGCTGTTGCTGCTGTTGCTGCTGCAGGTGCCTACGTGCTGTCTCGCGCGCCGCTTTCTGTGGAGTCATGTGGGCCCCGCGACCCTCGAGGGTCAGTGGCCAAGAAGCAGCAGCAGCAGCAGCAGCAGCAGCAGCAGCAGCAGCTGGTGCCGCCGCTGGCGCGTCAGGGCATGCAGAGCAACAGCAGCTTGGGCTCGGGAGCAGCAGCAGGAGGAGCAGCGCAGCAGGAAGGCAGCAGCGGGTGCGGGAGCGGCGAGGAGGGCGCTGCAGCAGCAACAGCAGCAACAGCAGCAACAGCAGCAACAGCAGCAACAGCAGCAGCAGCAGCAGCGCGGGCGAGCCTCGCGCCCGCCTCCCCAGCCATCATCGCCTGCCGCCGCTGGCAGCAAACTCAAGGCCTTGCAGACCCTCGTGCTGCAGCAGTTGTGTCGCTGCTGCGGGCTTTGGGGTTTCCCCGAAATCAAACTTATAAGGATTTGTTTCTTTCCTTTTTGCTGCCGCGGGCGCTGCAGCGGGTGCAGCGGCTTGCTGCGGAGCTGGCCAAGGCCCGGCAGGCTGCTGCAGCGGGCGGCAGGCAGCAGCAGCTCATGCTGCAGCAGCAGCAGCAGGCTGCTGCTGCTGCAGCAGAGCCCGCCACTGGCCGCAGGCGCGTCTCCGTCGACGCCGGCGGCGGCGGGCCCAGTGCTGCTGCTGCTGCTGCTGCTGCTGCCGTCGCCGCCACTGCAGCAGCCACCGCGGTGAACTGCGTCTCTGCTGCTGCTGCTGCTGCTGCAGCAAGAGCTGCAACAATCGAAGCTGTGCTGCAGCGCGCTGTAAGAGAACTCACCCCCACCTTTCAGGTGCGGCCGCTGCAGCCGCTGCTGGCAGCACTTTTGGAGGCGCTGCTGCCGCAGCAGCCAGCCCCCCAGATCATGAAGCTGCTGCTGTCGGGCTCTCCTGCTGCAGCAGACTTCCTCAAGGTCAGTCAAGCCTCAGCAGCAGCAGCAGCGGCAGCAGCAACTCCAGTAGCGCTGCTGCCTTCACGGGGCTCTGGCTGTTCTTACTAGGCATTTTGAGAGCACCGCCCATTGTGAAAATGCTGCGTGCTGCTGCTGCTGTTGCTGCTGCTGCTGCTGCTGCTGCTGCTGCTGTAGGTAGCTGCGCTGCCAACACGGCAGTCAGTGTGGGTGCACCAGCCGTGGCGGTTTTATGACGAGGTGTCTGTACACCTGGATGCATGCGCTGCGCTGCTGCACCTCGATGTAACAGACGCGGTGCTGCGGCTGGTGTCAACGCACCCCAAGACCAGCAGCAGCAGCAGCAGCAGCAGCAGCAGCACAGTGCGTGAGAGCGGGAACAGCGTGGCTGTGGAGGTGCTGCAGCGCCTCGACATGCTGCTGCAGTACGTTGCTGGCAGCAGGTGTCTGTACACTCTGCTGCTGTCTATCTTGCGGCTGCGATTTCTGCATTCTTTGCTGCCTGTGGGGCGCTTCCGGATTGCAATAAAGAAGGCAGCAGGTGGCAGCAGCAGCAGCAGCAGCAGCAGCGCGCCAGCCATCCCCCCCAGCCCGGCCACGGCCCAGCAGCAGCAGCAGCAGCTCGACCTAGAGACAGGAGATGCTGCAGCAGGTGCTGCTGCTGCGACTGGCTGGGGCGGCGGCCTCGGCGGCCACTTCATCCCTATTGAGAGCGTAGCGCAGCAGCAGAAGCAGCAGCAGCAGCAGCAGCAGGCAGCAGCACAACGCGCTGCAGTCGAAGCAGCTGCTTCGGGCCCCAGCTGCGAGGCCTCGCCGGCACCTGACGGGCGCTCTCCCAGTGCAGCAGCAGCAGCAGCAGCAGCAGAAGCTCGGGGACCCGTGAGCGGCCTCGCTTCCGCTGCAGCAGGTGACGACCCCAGCAGCAGCAGCAAAAGCAGCAGCAGCAGCGAGTGCTGCGGCGTGGAGTGCGAAGCAGTGTGGGGTACTGTTCGTTTGCTGCTGTTTGCTCGTGCTGCTTTTCTCTTCGGCGAAGCAGAAACAGCAGATCCTCAAGCTGCCTTGGCCCAGTTTGCCCTGCATGCAGCGCAGTAAGCCTCTGCTGCTGCTGCTGCTGCTGCTGCTGCTGGTGCTGCGGGCGGTGCTGCAGCCTTTGCTGCTGCGGCTTTGGCTGGGGCTGGTGCTGCAGTCTTTGCTGCTGCTGCTACCTTTGTTGCCGCTCGGGGGTGCTGCTGTCGGGTGTCCTACTGTTCCCGTCTGGGGTCTTATGATGCTGCTGTTGCTGCTGCTGTTGCTGCTGCTGTTGCTGCTGCGGCAGCGTGGGTCTTGACGACGAGGATTCGCCGCAGTTGCAGCAGCTGCTGTTTGCTAGGGACACCAGAGAAGAGCTCCGCAGCTGCAGGGTCAAGGTGAGCAGCGATGCTGCTGCTGCCGCTGCTGTTGCTGCTGCTGCTGCTGCTGCTGCGCTGCTGCTTGCGAGACTGCGGGCGCTGCTATCTCTGGTGCTACTTCATGCAGCAGCAAGAGTAGCAGCACGTGGGGCGACAAGCTGCACTTCTTCGACAAGAATGCTAGCGCTGCTGCTGCTGGCGCTGCTGCTGCTGCCACCACTACTGCTGCTGCCGCTGCTGCTGCTGCTGCTGCTGTCTGCAGTCTAGCGGCGACCTGCTGGACGCCTCTTTGCTGCTGCTGGCGCCTCCCGTGCTTCGCTGCTTGTCGCGGTGTCTCAGCAGCAAATTGCTGCGGCAGCCTTCGCAGCATTCTTTTTGTTCTTTGGGTGAAGATGCAGCAGCAGGTCAATTCCTGGGCCTCACGCTGCTAGGTGAGCGTTGTTGCTGCTGCTGGTGGAGAAAGCCCTGCTGCTGCTGCTGCTGCTGCTGCTGCTGCTGCTGCTACTGCTGCCCATGTTGCTGTAGCTGCGGCTGCTGCTACACAGGCTGCTGCTGCAGGGACGCTGCAGCCAGTTTCTGAGTCTTTTCTGCTTTCTGGATCTTGTATTGCCGATACTGCTGCTATTCTTACTCCTGCTGCTGCTGCTTCTGCTGCTGCTGCGCATCAGGGCTGTCTGCGCCGTACGTGGGTCTCATGAAGTTCTTGCTGGAGTCGCCTCCGACTGCTGCTGCGCTTGCTGTTGGAGCCCAGCTCACTTCGCAGCAGCAGCAGCAGCAGCAGCAAACGAGGAGCTATTTGAAGCCGAGCCACGCCGAAGGGAGCGGCAGCAGTAGCAGCAGGAGCAGCGGCAGCAGCAGCAGCTGCGGTAAGAGCAATCATGAGCCGCAGCAGGCCGGAGCGCAAGAACTGCATATACCAGCAGCAGCAGCAGAACCGACATGTGCAGCAGCAGCAGCTGCTGCTATAGGAGCTCGGGAGCTGAAAGGCAGCATATTTGATGAGGGCAACGAACACGAGACCCCCTTTGCTTCCCCCGCTATACGGTCAGCAGCACCCCCAGCAGCAGCAGCAGCAGCAGCAGCAGCAGCGGGACCCGTGGGCTTCCCCCCAACCCGCCCCTTCAGGGTCGTTGCTGCGCACCCACATGTAGACGCAGCAGCAGCTGCCACAGGTGGTGCTGTTGCTCCTGGCACGGGAAGAAACAGCAGCAGCAGCAGCAGCAGCAGCAGCCACAGCAGCAGCAGTCACAGCAGCTATGTTCGCTCCAAGCGGTCCCTCTCAAGCAGCGAGTTGGCCCCGTTGGCGCGCCCACGGAGCGGAAGCACTGGGGAGCAGCAGCACCTGCAGCAGCACCAGCACCAGCCCGCGCAGCAGCAGCAGCAGCAGCAGCAGCGAAGGCAGCTGGCCATTCCCCTTTCGCGGGTGCTGCAGCACGTGACAGAAGGAGCTGCTGCTTCGCAAAGCTCGCGCGTCTTGGCAGTGGTGCAGGACTGTTTGAGGCATCAGTTAGCCGAGGACGGCGCAGCAGCAGCAGCAACAGCAGCTGCTGCTGCTGCAGTACCTGCTGCAGCAGGTAGCAGGGGTGTCGTCGTTGGCTATGAAGCTTCGCTGCTTACTGTTTGCTGTCCCACTTCTTTTCTTTCTGCTTATCTTCCGCCCTTTGCTGGTCACGCGTGGTCAGGTTTGCTGGCGAGTTTGCTGACGCTGTTTGCTACTGAGCCGCAGCAGCAGCAGCAGCAACAGCAGCAGCAGCAACAGCACCAACAGCAGCAGCGAATTGCCGCGCTGGCCAAAGCTATCATCAAGCAGCAAGAACAGCTGCAGCAACAGGCAGTGCCCCCGAAAGGATGCATGCAGCAGACGCTGCGGCTGCTGGGGCGGTGTGCCCAGGCCCTTAGCGCAGCTGCTGCTGCAGCAGTAGCAACAGGAGCAGCAGCAGCAGCAGCAGCAGATGCGTCGGACGGCCTGCGTGGTGCGTCTCCCGCAGCAGCCGCTTTTGGCGCTGCTCCGGACACGGCAGCACCAGCAGCAGCAGAGCAGACTACCCCGTTGGCAGCAGCGGGACCAGCAGCAGCAGCAGCAGGAGCAGCAGCAGCAGCCAAAGGGAGCGGCGCAGCTCCGCTTGCTGCATGCGCTCTCTTCTGCTCAAAACTCAGAGTGGCTCTCTTGTCCGTAAACGACGAGGACGTCTGCCGCCGCCTGCTCATGGCTGCCAACACTGAGTTGCTGCTGTGCAGACTGGTTAGCCCAAACCCTAAACCCCAAACCCTAAACCCTAAACCCTAAGCGCTGAAGTCTGTAGCAGAGGCATAGCGCGCCGGCTGGCGAGGGTGTCTGCTGCTTCGCGCAGTGTGCGTATTGAGCTGTAGCGGGAGTTTAAGGCAGTGCGGCTGCTGCTTTGCTGCTGCTGCTGCTGCTGCTGCTGCTGCTGCGTACGTGCAGCTGCTGCTGTGCCTGCCGGGCGACAACTGCGCGAGCGTTATGCACCGCCGGCTGCTGCAGCACCAGCTGCTGAAGACAACAGTCATGAGAGATGCCCTGACAGTATCTTCTTTGAAGCGCAAGTACAAGCAAGCTGCAATGGTGGCCAGAAGACCTGCTGCTGCTGCTGCTGCTGCTGCTGCTGAGGCCGTCGCTGGTGCTGCTCCTGGTGCCGCCGCTGCCGCGTCAGCGAGGCCCGCTGCGGGCACTGCGCCAGGCACGCCTGCAGCGAGCGGGCAGCAGCAGCAGCAGCAACAGCAGCAGCAGCAGAGCATGCAGCAGCAGCAGCAGCAAACTGGGGAAAAGAAGGCCGCCTACGCCGCGTTGACTCCTCAAGGCTTTCTTTGCCACGAAACCCTCGAGTTGGATTTCCTGCAGCTCTTCGAGAAGAAAGAAACTGTCAGACTTGCCTTCGTTCCGGTCAGCTCCGCGCGCGTACAGTCCCACTGTGCAGCTAGCTAGCTAGCTAGCTAGCTAGCCAGTCAGCTAGCCATCTAGCTGGCCAGCCACTGACTAGCTGTCTGGCTAGCTATCTGGCCGGCTAGCTAGCTAGCTAGCTAGCTGACTGGGTAGCTAGCTAGATAGCTAGCTAGCTAGCTAGCCAGCTAGCTAGCCACGTGGAGCCCTTATTTGGGCCTGAACACGGCGGCTGCACAGCTAGCTGCGCACTTGTAGCAGTCACTCGGCAGCTATCTGGGCGGCTAGCTGTTAAGTGGCTAGCTGGGTAGCTAGCTAGCTAGCTGCGTAGGGAGTTGCTAGGTGGCTGGCTGGGCAGCCAGCCATCAGACGGCTAGCTAGCAGCTAGCTGCTCAGTGGCTAGCTGGGCAGCGAGCTCTCAGGCGGCTAGTTGGGCGGGAAGGGCGCGGGGCTCTATCTCAGACGCAGCACCTAACTAGCAACCCAGCTTTCCATCTGCCCGGCTAGCTAGCCAGCTAGCTAGCCAGTCAGCCAGCTAGCTAGCCATGGGGTCTGTGCGCAGGGCCGGCTGGTCAGTCCACTGTTGCTGGACGCCTCGCGACACTTATTTGCTGTTGCTGAATGGGCCTTTCCGTTTCCTTACTATTCGCTGCTGCTGCTGCGGGTGGGTCAGCTGCAGCTGCAGGCTGCTGCTGCAGCGCCGCCTGGGCTCTGCTGCTGCAGCGCCGCTCCTGTTTTGCTGCTGCAGCGCCGTCTGGGCTCTGCTGCTGCAGCGTTGCTCTTGGTTTTGCTGCTGCAGCGCAGCCCGGGCTCTGCTGTTGCAGCGCTGCCTGGGCGCTGCGCAGCTGGGGGACCCTAGGGGGGTTTGCAGCAGCACTGAGCGCGCATCTGCTGCTGCTGCTTTGCTCTGCTGCTGCTGTTGCTGCTGCAGGAAGCAGCAACGCGCCGCCTGCTGGGCATCCCACGGGCCATCGCCGCTATCGGCAACCTCAAAAGGCAAGCTCTTTTTTGCTGCTGCTGCTAGCTGCTAATGTGGCAGTCAAGAGCCAGCTGCAACCCCACATTTTGCTGCTGCTGCTGCTGCTTGTGCTGCTGGTACCTCTCTGCTGCGCAGATTGGCAGCCGACCGCTACGCTGCTGAGGGATCTTATTCTGTGGTGGTGAGAGCAGCAGTAGCAGCAGCAGTTGCAGCAGCAGCAGGAGCTGCTGCAGCACCTTACAGCCCTAGCGTCAGTGTCGTGTGTTCCTGCTGCTGCTGCTGCTTCCATGAGGCTTTTGCTTCTCGTTTTTTTCTGCTGCAGGCAGCGGTTTTCTCCTCTGCTGCCGATAGCGCTCTGGAGCTGCTTCGCCGATCAGTTTGACTGGGGCCAGCAGCAGCAGCAGCAAGAGCAGCAGCAGCTGCTGCTGCTGCTGCTCTCGCTGCAACGGCAGCAGCAGCAGCAGTACAGCAGTATCGCTGCAATTGACGTGCCTGTACAGACAGTGTTGGGGGATTGCTAGCACTAGGGTGTATTCTCTGCTGCAGCGAAAACAGCTGCAGCAGCAACAGCACGTGCTGCTGTTGCTGAAGCAACAGCAGCAGTCGCAGCTGCGACCGCAGCAAGAGTAGCAGCTGCTGTTGACGAAAAGACTGACGCTGTCTCCTGTCAATCTAAACTGTAGAGCGTGCAGCAGCAGCGGTTTCAGCAGCAGCAGCAGCGGCTTCGGCAGCAGCAGCAGCGGCTTCTGCAGCAGCCACTGCTGCTGCTGCTCTCCTGCTGGGGCCTCAAGGCAGGTGCGACGAGTCGCCGTTGCCGCCTTTTGTTTTGTTCCGATTTAGGACGCAAATAGCTCATGTGCTGAAGCCCTTGTTTCTGCTGCTGCTGCTGCGGGTACTTTGCTGCTGCTGGGGCGGCTGCCGGTGCTGCGGTTGACTACCTGCTGCTGTCGCTGCTTGGCTGCTGTGGACTTTCTGCTGCTTCTGCTGCGAGTGCTGTGCTGCTGCTGCTGCAGCTGCAGCTGCTGCTAGACGTGCCAGGCGCCGCGTAGAGCCAGCAGCAGCTTGTGCATGTACTGGCGCTGCTTCTGGGTTTGCTGCACTGGGTAGATCAGCAGCAGCAGCAGCAGCAGCCTTGAGCCGAGTTGCTTTCCCAGTGTCTGCCTTCGGCTCTGCTTCTTTTTCTCTGACTCCTTGTTGCCTTTTGGTTGCTCTTCAGTTCTTTCTGCTGCTGCTGCTGCTGCTGCTAATTCTCCAATTCTCTGTCACCTTGGCTGCCTAACTACATTGGCGCCTTTCGTTTTTTTGTTCGTTTTTGGGGCCCCGTAGGGGCCCCCAAGGGTCCAAAGGGGGCCCCTAAAGAAATCTTTTTGGCTCCCTTTGCGGGGCCCCTAATGGGGCCCTCTTGGGGCCCTTCGGGGGCCCCTAAAGGGGCCCTTTGGAGCCCTCTGGGGGGCCCCAAAGGCACTCTTTTGGGGCCCTTTAGGGGGCCCCTCTAGGGGCCCCCTAAGTGGCTTTTTGGGGGGCCCCTCTAGGGGCCCCCTATAGGGCTCCTTTGGCCCCTGCGCTGCTGCGAGCAGCGGGGCGGCTCTGGCTGGCTGCTGCTGCTTCCCCTCTGGGCTGCTGCTGCCTCTTCTCTGGGCTGCTGCTGCTTCTCCTCTGTGCTGCTGCTACCTTATGCCAGTTTGCTGTTTCCCGTCTTCTGCATGCAAGTCAGACCCCACATATTTCCTCTCTGCTGCGGGCCCCCGTGGCCCCTGCTGCCTTCAGTCCCAGTAGCTGCTTTTTCCTCCCTTGTGTATTTTTGTCTTCTCTTTCCTTTCTTTTTGCTTCTTTACTCCTCGTCTTTGTCTCTGGCCTCTTCTGCTCCTTGCCCCTGCAGCTGCGAGTGTGCTGCTGCTGCTCTGCAGCAGCAGTCACTGCAGCAGTCCTCGGAGGTCTGTAGCCTCTGCAGCTGCTGCGCTGCAGCAGCAGTCACTGTAGCAGCCTCAGAAGATCTCCAGCCTCTGCTGCCGCTGCGCTGCAGCAGCAGCAGTCACTGCAGCAACCTGGGGAGGTCTCTCCACTTGCAGTGCACGAATTTAACTTCCCTTTGCACCCAGTCAGTTCCCCCGCAGCCTCTGCTGCTGCTGCGCTGCAGCAGCAGCTAGTGCAGCAGCCTGAGGGGGTCTCTCCACTTCCAGTGCAGAAAATTAATTTCCCTTTCCATCCAGTCAGTCATTGCTCCTGCTGCTGGATGCAAACAGTGCAGATTTTCTCTTAGCTGGTACAGATCGCTGAAGCCCAGCAGCTGCACGCACGCCCCAGCCACACTCCCGGCCCTCAGCATCAGCAAACGCCTGCTGCTCCCAGCAGCAGCAGCAGCTGCTGCTGCTGCGAGAGCGCAGGCGGCGCAGCAACGTCCCAGAGTCTGCTGCTGCAGAGCAGCAGCAGGGGAAGGAACAGCCTAGCTAAGCACCCTCTGGGTGCCTGTCGCTGTGTCGCTCCTGCCCTGCCTATCTGCTGCTACTGTTGCTGCTGCTGCTGCTGCTGCGTCTGGGCTTTTGGGGGGACTCACAGTGGAGGTCACGAAGGGGCGAGAGAACACCCACTTGAGGGCCACGGGCGTCAAGTTCGGCTGCTCGAAGCGCCGCGCCAAGTAGAAATATTCCTTAACAGCCTTTGCGGCCATAGAGCCTCTGGCAGACAGCAGCAGCAGCAGCAGCAGCAGCTCATGTGGCAGCCCGCGCTCTGCTGCAGCAGCAGAGCAGCAGCAGCAGCAGCTGGGGTACAGCCCGCCCTGCTGCTGCTGCAGCAGCAGCTGGGGTACAGCCCGCGCTGCAGCAGTAGCAGCAGCTGGGGAGCAGCCCTCCCTGCAGCAGCAGCAGCAACCGGGGTGCAGATCGCCCTGCTGCAGCAGCAGCAGCAGCGGCCGGGTGCAGCCCGCCCTGCTGCAGCAGCAGCAGCAGCCGGGTGTAGCCCGCCCTGCTGCAGCGGCAGCAGCAGCAGCCGGGGTGCAGCCCGCCCTGCTGCAGCAGCAGCAAGCAGCCCCGCTGCAGCCTACCTCAGTCGCCGCATGTAGGAGGGGAAGCGCAGCAGCCGGCCAGCCGTGGGGTACTCGAGCCACTCCAAATACTTCCCAGTCAAAAGGCCCCCGGCCAGCGCCCCGTAGGCCACCAGCGAGACGCCTGCGCGCGCCGCCGACCTAGGGTTTAGGGTTCAGGGTCCAGAGTTTAGGGTTTAGGGTTCAGGGTTTAGAGTTTAGGATTATGGTTTAGGATTCAGGGTTTAGGGTTTACGGTTTGGGGTTTAGGGAACCGGGGATGCAAGGCACAGCGGTTTTAGTGCCTAGGGTTTAGGGTTTCGGGGCAGACACTGGGCTCCGGGGTGAGCGTTTTGAGGGTTTAGGGTTTATTGCCAACAGCGCGCTCGGCTGCTGCGCCGCAGCTGCTGCTGCGGTGCGTGGCTGCTGCCGTAAGGCCGGCAGCAGCAGCAGCAGCAGCAGCAGCAGCAGGCCCGGGAATCTTGCCTGAATTTTGAGGCCTGACAGCCTCTACGAACTGCTTCTCCACGTCATTCCGCAGCAGCAAATTGTAATGAACTTGACAAGCAGCAGGAGGAGGCAGCCCCCTCGCCTTGGCTAGCTGGCAGAAGCGCAGCAGCCCGTAGACAGTCTCGTTGCAGAGGCCCCATGCCCGAATCTGAAACGCGCGCAGCCACACAGCACCAGCTTCTGCTGCTGCTGCTGCTGTTGTTGCTGGTGTTGTTGCTGCTGCTGCTGCTGGCCTGGCGAGGGGCTAAAATGCCGCGAGGTGGCGTTTAAACCCGGTGGGATCGTGCGATCCCAGGGCAGCGGGGTCCTGCTGCTGCAGTGGAGTGCATGCAGCAGCAAATGCGCAGTACTTGCCTTGCCGTCTCTTAGCAGCACCTCCACTGCGTCCAGCCACGCCTCCATGGACACCCGCGGGTCCTGCGTGTCTGTTGCTGCTGCAGTCTGGCAGCAAACGTAAACAGCCCCGCAGCAAAACACTCAGCTCGAGCAGCAGCACACGGCCGGCAAAGCAGCAAAAAGACACAAACGCCCTAAGAACCCCGCCAGCAGGAAAGTGCAGCAGCAAACGCTCCAACACTCCCACGGGCTGCAGCAGCAACAGCAGCAGGCTGCTGCTACAACGTGCTGCAGCAGCAGCTGCAGACTGCTGCTGCAGGCTGCTGCTGCAGGGTATCAGGAGCAGCAGCTGCTGCTGCGACTCACGGGGATATCGTAGAGGACCTGGTGCGGCTCTCCTGTCTCGTGGCGCGGCACATAACGCTGCGGCCAGTGCAGCTGCAGCAAATCCACGTAGGAAGTGCCCAGGCGACGGAGGCTGCCTTCTGCAGCTTTTATAACATCCTCTGCAGCCAGGCCCGCCGCTCCGCTGCTGCGAACGAGAAGCAGCAGCAGCAGCAGCAGCGCAGCAGCAGCAAAAGCCGTTCCCCATGAAGGGCAGGGGCCCGCAGCGGCAGCAACAGCAGCAACGGCAACAACGCCGCAGCAGCAACAGAAGAAGCAGCAGCAGCAGCAGCAGCAGCAAGTGGCTACCTGTTAGTTGGCTGCCGCTGCAGCCAGGAGAGCCGCTCGTGGGGCCCCGCCACAGTGGCGGCCAGCACCAGCTCCGCGCGCTTTGCTGCTCCCCTAGCAGCAAGCCACTTGCCCACAATCTCTTCAGCAGCACCGAAGGACTCAGCAGCAGCAGGAAGCGGATACAGCTCCGCAGTGTCGATGAAATTCACCCCCCACCCGTCCACTGCGTAGCTCAGCAGCTCGCTGGGATTGTTGCAGTTCCCTTCCCCCGCGGGGGGCCCCTGGGGGCCCCCCATGAACATCGTGCCCAGGCCCACCTCCGACACGTACAGGTCGCTCTGGCCCAGCTGCCGGTAAGTCACCGGCCATGGGGGGCCCCCCTCCCGGGGGGCCCCCCCGGGGGCCCCCGGGGCCCCCCGGGGGGCCCCCGGGGATGGCGTTGGGGGCAGCTGGAGCCTATTGGGGAGCAGCAGTTTGGGGGCTGCGCAGCCCGTTGAGAGCGGGAGGGCCACGTGGGCGTACTGGCGGTGATAAGCCTCTTCGGGGGTCATGAGGGGTCCCCCGGGGCGGGCTGGAAGCGGGGGGGGAGGCAATACCTCCCCGGGTTCCCCTATGAGGGGCCCCCACTCCGGGGGCCCCGGGGGGCCCCCCACTGGGGCCCCCTCCGCAGCTTCCTCTGGCGGCGGCTCCCCTGCGCAGCCCGGCCTCTGCGCGGCTGCACCCGCTGCTGCTCCTGTGTCTGCTGCTGCTGCTGCTGTGTCTGCTGCTGCTGCTGGGCGGGCCTGCGTCTCCGCATCTGCGGGGCCCTGCTGCTGCTGCTGCTGCTGCTGCTGCTGCTGCTGCTGCTGCTGCTCTGCGCGGCGGCGCCTGTTTTCAATGACTTTCTCTATCCAGGCCTTGTCTTTGGCTGTGAAGCTCCGCGCGAAGTTTTGCCGCGCAGCCAAAATCCCATAAGGGGCCTCCGGAATAAAACGCCACTGCTCCTCCCGCTGGGGGCTGCGGCGCATGCCTGGCAGCAAACACAGGGGGCCGAACCCCGCATCCGGTTTGCAGCAGCAGCAGCAGCAGCAGCAGCAACCGCAGCAGCAGCAGCAAGCGCAGAGGCAGCAGCAGCAGCGGCAGCAGCAGCAGCGGCAGCAGCAAGGGTAGCAGCAGCAGCAGCAGCAGCAGGCGACCTGCAATCATTTCTTCGGCGAGCGTGGCCTGGCGGGCGATGTCGTCGTCTGGTTCTCTTGGTGGGGGTTCTGCTTCCTCCAAGTAATACCGCCGCGCCTCTGGGGTGTCCAGGCGGTAGTAGGGGGCCACGCCCTCCTCCTCAGGCTCTTCGCTCCCGTCCCCCGGCTGCGGGCCATACGCAGCAGCAGCAGCCGCAGCAGCAGCAGCAGTGGACCGGCAGACGCAGCAGCAGCAGCAGCAACAGAAGACTCCAAGCAGCACCAGCAGACCCGCAGCGGCAGCAAACCTCAGCAGCAGCAGCAGCCCGTAGCAGCTAGCTGTGGCTAGCTAGCTGTGGCTAGCTAGCTGTGGCTAGCTAGCTGGGGGACTGACCAGCTTGTAGGGGTTGTAGCGCCTGTAGGACCAGCTGTAATCCCGCTTGGGGTCATAGTAAGACTCCACAAAGTCAAAGCCCGCCTCCGCTGCAGTCGCGTTCACAGCTGTACACACAAGCAGCAGCAGCAGCAGCAGCAGCAGCAGCAAGCAACTATACATGTTATATATATATAACACAAATATATTATGTATTATATATAATACATATTGTATATCATATATGTACTATTTTAATATATGTGTCGTAAATGTACATATAGCATGTATCTGGAGGCTCCGCCCCCTCCGCCCTCAGAGCCGGTGGTCTAGGTAGGGTTTACGCGTTAGGGTTTAGGGTTTAGGGTTTAGGGTTACGTATGAGCCCGTGAGAAACGACGAGGCGGCCCGGGGGGAGGTCCCGCTTGATGGGAATCCAGTCTTCGTCAGGAACAGCTTCAGAAACGCCGTATTCTTCCTTGTCTTCTGAGGTGTACAGACACCGCAGAGGCAGCAGCCACGCGAGGTCTGCTGCTGCTGCTGCTGCTGCTGCAGCTGCTGCCCGCGCATCGCCCAGCTGGAGCCGCTGCTCTGCTGCGCCTGCTGTTATTGATGCTGGAGCTTCACAAAATGTGCCCCTCCTCTTCCATCAGCAGCAGCAGCAGCAGCAACAGCAGCAGCGTGAGCCCACAACAAAGCAGCAGCGGCGGGAGCAGCAATTTTCCCCGCTACAGCAGCAGCAGTAGCGGTTTCAGCTCCAGCAGTACCAGTGGCCTCGGTGCCAGCAGCACCAGAAACAGCAACAGCAAAAGCAACAGCAGCAGCAACAACAACAGCAGCAACAGCAGCAGCAGCAGCAAGGCACCTCTCTGGAGTCTTTTGAGCTCTTCGGGGTTGTCTGCCCACTGGGCTTTGATCTTCTCGAATGTTTTCAAGTCGATAAACATCGGCGTGGAGTCGAGGGCCTGAGAGCAGCAAATTAATTGAAAGTCTCGAGAAATTAATTTAAAACTTCGACAAATTAATTCAAAAATATCAACAAATTAATTCAAAAATATCAACAAATTGATTCAAAGGTATCAACTAATTAATCCAAAAATATCAACAAATGAATTCAAAGTCCGGACACATTAATTCAAAAATATCGATAAATTAATTCAAAAGTCTCGACAAATTAATTCGAAAACTCTCGACAAAATAAGCCAACAACTTTGCTGCTTCTGTTCTGCTTCCTTTTGTCTTTTTCTGATTTTGCCGTGAGCCTCCTCGACCTTTCGTCCCTAGCTAGCTATCTAGCTATCTAGCTAGCTACCTAGCTAGCTAGCTAGCTAGCTAGCTAGCTAGCTAGCTAGCTAGTTGGGTGGCTGTCTGGCTAGCCGTTTGGCTATGTGGTTAGGCCGCTGGCGAGCTAGCTGGCGAGCTAGGCAAGCTCGCTGGCTAGCCAGCTGGCTAGCTAGCGGGCTAGCTAGCTAGCTAGGTCCGCAGCTAGCCAGACAGCTAGCTAGCCAGCTAGCTAGCCAGCTAGCTATCCAGCTAGCTAGCCAGCTAGCTAGCCAGCTAGCTAGCCAGCTAGCTAGCCAGCTAGCTGTCCACCGCAGCTAGAGGCCTTTTGCGCACCTGGCGGTACAGAATGGTGTCTTGACCAATGGTCAAGGCCTTGACCGGCAGCTGGTCCACTGTGCGGGCTCCGGGGGGGGGAAGACCTTCTCTTTTGTGTCTTTCTTCTAAGTCTTGCTGCTGCTGCTGCAGCTGCGGGGGCAGCCAGGCGTGGCTAGCTGTGCCAGCTGCTTGCTGCTGCAGCGCGCGCAGCGCCGCCCGCCGCGCTGCTGCTGCTGCTGTCTGCGAAGGAGGCAGCCATTCCTCCTCCTCTGCTGCTGCTGCTGCTGCTGCTGCTGCCTCTGCTGCTGCTGCGTCGTCGGTGCTGTCTGCTGCAAAGGCCCCCAACCGCTCCTCTCTCAGCGCCTCAGCCTCCCCCAGATCTTCTGCTGCTGCTGCTGCTGCTTCTTCTTCTTCTTCTGCTGCTGCTGCGAACCGGGCTGGCAGCAGCCGCTCAGCAGCATCCTGGTAGTCCTCCTCCCCCTCATCAAAGCCGTCGAAGCCCTCGCCGCTGCTGCTGCTGCGTGCTGCTACTTCCGCAGGATCTTCTCTGTCTTCCTGCTGCTCCTGCAGCAAACTTTGCTGCAGCAAGTCCTCCATATCCTCAGGCTCATCCAGGTGAGCAGCAGCAGAAGCAGCAATCTTCAGAAACGATGGTCCTTCCTTGCAGCCCCTGTGCTGCTGCTGCTGCTGCCTACCTGCGGTTATGAAGGAAGAGAGGCAGCAGCCCCTCGGTGGGCGTGAAAGGCTTGCTGCGAGCGCAGCTGCATGCTGCTCTCCAGGAAGCAGCAGCAGCAGCAGCAGAAGCTGCAGCAGCAGCAGCAGCCAATGCATAAAGTAGCCAGGAGCCAAGAAATGGAAGAAGCAGCGGCCCCACATTTCCCTTTGGTGCTGCGGCTTTCAGTCTAAGAAATGGAGAGAAGAGCAGCAAGGGCAGCAGAATCCACCGCAATAAACACGACAGCAGCAGCAGCAGCAGCAGCAGCTCAGCTCCAGCAGCAGGCTTTAGCCCGCGGCTTTTAGGGCTGCGTGAATGGAGGGGCCTTTGGTGCTGCTGCACAGCCAGTGGAGGCCCTCAGCAGGAGTATCTGCCCCATTGCTTCCTCTATTTGAGGTTTGCTGCTCCTGCTGCTGCCTGTGCTGCTGCTGCTGCTGCTGCCCTCCTGGAGGGGCCGCTGGCGTCGGTGTCTTTCGAGTTGGTGCCAAACGGGTCCGCTGCAGTGTACAGCGCCTGCGCTGCTGTTACTGCAGCAGGAGCTGCAGCCTGTGCTGCTGCTGTTGAAGCAGCAAGTGCTGCAGACCGCCAATTGCTGCAGCTTGCTGCTAGGAGGCCCTTGAGACACTCAGGATCCGCTGGCTCCCCTGAGCTAGCCCTGCAGTGCCGGCAGTTTGTGTGCTGCTGCCCGACGAAGCAGCAGCAGCAGGCAGTTAGTCGCTGAAGAGCAGGATCCGCAGAGTTCTGCTGCTGCTGCTGCTGCTGCTGCTACTGCTAAGGCTTGAGGCAGCGAGTGGCGGCGCTCATGTCTGCGGGCTTCAGGCGGGTCCACGCCGCTGCAAACAACTTAAAGACCCTCTTTAATTTGCATTAATTAGAAGATTTGTTTTTAATTTTGTCTCATTTCTTAACTGCTTCCTGCAGAAACCGATGAGCCCGTGGGGCCCCCGTCGGCAGCGTCGTGCACTGGGGGCCCATGGGCTGGGGCATTGAGGCGCTGCTGCTGCTGAATTGTTTGTTTGTCTTTGGATTCTTAAAAGCAGCAATTATTATTTTCATTTCAAAGGCGAAAAACGCGGACAGGGGGTCTTCTGCTGCTGCCCTGCAGAGGGTCTCTCGGGCGCTGTCTTGGCCTATGGCTCCAGCCGCTGCTCCCCACAGCTGCCAAACCCTAAACCCTAAACCCTAAACCCTAGCGCCGAACCTGGGCCCTGCGAAAGGAGAATCCATGGGGAAACGGTAGGGGGCTCTCCAGTCTGTTGCGGGCCGCGAGGCCTTCCGTAGCAGCAGCTGCAGCAGCCCCGGGCCCAGCAGCTGCGGCTGCTTCTGCAGCAGCTGCTGCACCCACAGCAGCAGCTACCACCACGCTCGGAGAACCTGCTGCAGCGCAGCGAGCACCGACGGCGCAGGCCCTGGGCCGTGTGCTGCTGCTGCAGCAACAGCAACAATGCTGGAGGAGACAGAGCCGCTGCTTGAGCACAGCGACGTTGCTGCAGCAGATGACGACTCCGACGCTGCTGCTGCGTCTGACGCCGTTGCTGCAGCAGCAGCAGCAGCCGCAGCAGAGGAGGAGTTCGCGGCGGGCTCCGCAGCGGGCGCCACCCAGGAGTCCGCCGCCGCCGCCGCAGCAGCAGCAACAGCACCAGCAGCAGCAGCAGCAGCAGCAGCAGCAGCACCGTGCCGACGCCGCCTCTGGCCCTCCTGGTCCTCACTCACCTTCGGGTTTGCTGCTTGCCTCCTCGAGGGGGGCCCCTCAGGGTCTGGGAGGGCCCCCCAAACCCTAGAGGAGTTGCGAGCTGCTGCTTCGCGGCTGCCGCAGCTGGAGACCCCCCGCAGCACGCAGCAGGTGACGAAGTCCATCAGCAGCAGCCTGCTGGCCTCCGCAGCAGCGGCTGCTGCAGCCGGGCCCAGCAGCAGCAGCAGCAGCAGCAGCAGCAGCAGCAGCAGCAGCAGCAGCGACGGCAAGGAGAGGGACTTGTCTGTGTACCGCGTGCTCTTCCGGCTTGTGGCCCCCTGCGTGGCTCCCTTGGGTTTGCTGCGGCTGCTGGAAGTGCTGCTGTCTTCTTTGTCTCCTTTGCTGCTGGAGGGCATTGTGGCTTCTCTGGAGAGTTCGCTGCCGCCATCAGCAGCAGCAGCAGCAGCAGCAGCGGAGGAGCGCGGGGGCCCCGTGCTGTGGCTGCTGCGGCCCTGGGCCCAGCGGCCCCACACTCGCTTGCTGCTGCTGTCTTTGCTGCTGGCAGCAGCTTCTTACCTGCAGGTCTTTGCCAGTGTCCAGTGCGGCTTCAGAATGCGCAAAGTTGCACTTCGGGCCAAAAACGCTTTGCTGGCAGCAGTTTTCGACGCTGCGCTGCGCCGGCCCCACGCCCCGCTCCCCTGCAGCAGCAGCAGCAGCAGCAGCAGCAGCAGCAGCAGCAGCAGGGTGGCGGGAGGGGAGGGGGGTGAGCTGCAGGACGAGCTGCTCTCCGCGGCGGCGCCTGCAGCGGCTGGCTCGGGGTGCGAGGATGAGGCTCCAACAGCAGCTGCTGCTGCTGCGACAGCTGCTGCTGCTGCTGCAGCAGCGGCTGCTGCTGCTGCAAGGGCTGCTGCCGCAGCAGCTATCGGCTTTGTTGATGCAACCAAACCAAATAGTGCTTTGGGATCCGCGGGAAGACCCGCAGCAGCAACAGGCAAAGACAGCCCCCCCTGCAGAACCGGCAAAGACGCGCATGCAGCAGCAGCAGCAGCAGCAGCAGCAGCTGAAGAGGCTGCTGCTGGAGTGCTGAGCCCGCGCCCTCTGGTGCGGAGCCGCAGCAGCGAAACCGGCAGCAACGGCAGCAGCAGCAGCAGCAGCAGCATGAAGAAAAGCAAAAGTGCTGGAGGGGCGCTGACGCGGGCTGTTTCCTTTGGGGGCAATTTGCACCGCGTGGTGTCTCAAACTCTTTTCGACGGAGCTGCTGCTGCAGTTTTAACTGCAGCAGCAAGAGCTGAGACGGCTGCTGCTGCTGCTGCAGAGGCCGTTGCTGCTGCAGCAGAGCACGGCGGCGCAAGCAGTAGCAGTGGGTCGGAGTCGTATCTGTCGGTAAGTAGGTACCCAGTGCTGCTGCTGCTGCTGCTGCTGCGGCCGCCAGTCTCGCCTGTGCTGCTGCTGTTCTTCTGTCTTTGCTGCTACTGCTGCAGCCCTCCCCGAAGTGCAGCAGCAGCTGCTGCTGCTGCTGCTGACAGCCAGTTGCTGCACGTTCCTGCTGCTGCTGCGTTGGTGCCCAGGCGGTGAGTGAAGAGGAAGCAGCAAGTGGAGAAGAAGGTCCTTTTAATGGAGGTGGTTTTGCTTCTCCTCGGCAGCTGCCTTCTGGCCAAGGGGACAGCAGCAGCCCATCAGATGAGCGGCAGGCGTGGCTTGGTGCTGCTGCTGCTGCTGCTGCTGCTGGTTCTGGGGCTGCAGCGGGCAGAGGCGTCGGCAATTCGTTCCCTGAAGACAGGTCTAGGGGCAGCAGCAATGGCAGCAGCAGCAGCAGCAGCAGCAGCACCTTCAGCTTCACTGCACTGGCAAGGGCCATCAGCAGCGAGGCAACGACCGACTTGCCGGAGTCGTTCGAAAGGACGCCAGCAGCAACGTCCCACGGCTTGCAGCAGCAGCAGCAGCAGCAGCAGCAGGTGCTGCAGCGCGACGCGAGCCGGTGTGAAGCGCAGCCTTTGCTGTCGCTCGAGGGCGGCGCAGCAGCAGCTCGGCCTACAGTGTCGCCGCGGCTGCGTCAGCGGTCAGCAGGTCCTGCGTCGGGGTCTGGAAAGGACGGCCGCAGCAGCAGCAGCAGCGTGAGCAGCAGCAGCAGCAGCAGCGGGGTGGGGTCAGCCTCGTCCCCGTCTGCTGCTCTCGAGCTGGCCAACCTCGTCAGCGTCGACTGCGAAAGAACTCAAGTGGGCATTTGCGTGCTGCACGAGCTGTGGGCAGCTCCCTTAACTTTGGCCCTTAACCTCCTTCTGGTCTACAGGCAAATCCCCAGCGCTTTCCTCTACGCCGTCGCCGTCACAGGTGAGGCACTGCACTTCCCCAGCGCCGCAGCAGCAGCAGCAGCAGCAACAGGAACCGCAGCCGCAGCACAAGCAGCACCAGCAACGACAGCGGCACCAGCAGCAGCAGCAGCAGCAGCAGCAAGAGGAGCTCGTTGTGTGTTTGTGCGGGGTGCGTGGGCTTCGCAGGAGTGTGTCTGTTGGTGCAGCTGCGGCTGGGGGACTGTCTGCGTCAGCTGACGCACCGGATGATGAGCTGTCGAGACACCCGAGTGCGGGCGTGTCGGGAGCTGCTGCTGCACGTGCGGGAAACGAAAGTGCTGGGGTGGGAGAGCCACGCGTTTGGCCGCATTTGGAGTTTGCGGCTGCCAGAACTTCGCTTTCTGAGCTGCCGCTACTACTTGCATGCAATCAGCAACTGCCTCTTCGTGTCCACGCCGCTGGTGGTGAAGGTCACTGCCCTCACTTGCCTCGTGGCCCGCGGGGAGGGTGGGGGAGGGGGGGCCACGCGGGCCAGCAGCCTCTTTGCTGCGTTGGCTCTCATAGACAAGGCCCTGCAGGCCCTCAACTCTTTGCCTACGCTCATGGGCGACTTGACTGCTGCTGCGGTGGCTCTCAAGCGCCTCGGCAGGTGTCTCAAGCCCCCGGCGGCCGCGGTCCAGCTCCAGCTCCAGCAGCAGCAGCAGCTGCTGCAGCAGCAGCGGCAGCAGAAGGAACGCGCACAAAAACTTAAACGCAAACAGCAGGGACACGCCGCAGAGCCCGGAACAAGTGGAACAGACGCGTCCGCGGAGACGGGAATGCCAGCAGCAGCAGCAGCAGGGGCGCAAGCTGCCGCGGAAGCAGCAGCAGCAGGCATTCCCCCGGACTCTGCTGTTGTTTGCTTCCGCCGAGCCGCCTTCGCGTGGAGGCCCCTGCGGCCAAACGAGCTGCTGCCAACTTCTGAGCCATGTCTTTCCCCCACTGCCTTGGCAGCAGAAAGCCCCCAGACGGGCAAGGCAAGTGTCAGCGCAAGCAGCAGCTGCCCCAGCAGCAGCAGCTGCGCCAACAGCAGCAGCTGCAGCAGCAACCGTTCCGTGCAGCAAGTGGCCTCCATACTCAGCCGCGCAGCAGATCGCCCCCCCCTGGCCGGGGAAAGCAAAGGGCCGTATTGCCTGCGCAGCAGCAGCGCAGTGCTGCACGACGCAGACCTGCAGATTAACCCGGGAGAGCTGCACTTAGTAGTTGGCAAGTCAGGCAGCGGAAAGAGCAGCCTCTTAGCTGCAGTGCTGGGCGACATGAACCTAGTGAGGGGGGAGGCTTACCTCAACCTGCCTCGGCCTGCCACCAGCAGCACCTGCAGCAGCAGCAGCAGCAAAGGCAGCAGCAGCAGCCACAGCGGCTCAGGAATGCCCCAACTGAAGGCGCTCGGCGGGCAGCCTCTAGAGGCAGCAGCGGGGGAAGGCGCCGGCAGCCAGGGCCTCCCAGGCAGCGAGTCTGCCGCAGAAGATCCTTGGGAGTTCATTGGCTTTGCGCCGCAGCAGCCCGTCATCTTCGAGGGAACCCTCCGAAGCAACATTCTCATGGGGCGGCCGCTGCTGCCCCTCGCCTACAGCCAAGTGCTGCATGCGTGCTGCTTAGAAAGAGATCTTGCTGCTTTGGGCGGCGACAGCACCCCAATAGACGCCGGCGGCCACAGGCTAAGCGGTGCGCGCAGCTCAGAGCTACAACATGGGCTTCGCAATAAGTCATTATTAGTACATTATGCTTTTCATTTGGAATTTTTGCTGCTTGTGCGTGGTTTTTGCTTTGCAGTAAGTCATTATCAGTGCATTATGCTTTTTATTCGGACGTTTTGTCTTCTGTTCTGGTTCGGGGTTTTGCAATAAGTGATTATCAGTACATTATGCTCTTCATTTCAAGTTTTTGCTGCCTGTGCCTGTTTTGGGTTATGCAAAATGTCATTATCGGCGCACTGAGTTTTCCATTTGGAGTTTCTGCCACTTGTTCTGGTCCCGGGTTTTGCAGTTCGTCATATTAGTGCACAATGCTGTTCATTTGAAGCTTTTGCTTCCTGTTCTGGTTTTTGAGCCATGGGCCCGAGGGCGCCAGGCATTGCAGCCTTCTGTGTGGGGAAGAAGCTAAACAATCTGGTTTTGTGTTTCTTTTTGTTGCTGCTTCTCTGCAGGGGGACAGAGAGCCCGCATTTGCCTGGCCCGCGCCTTCTACAGCGCAGCTGCTGTTGCTGCCTGCTGCAGACCGCCTTCTTCGGGGCAGCAGAAGGCAAGCGCAGCGTCTCAGGCGTCTGCCAGCAGCGGCGAAAGCACTGCTGCTGCTGCTGCTGCTGCTGCTGCTGCGTCAGCGAGGCAGCTCGCGGACAACAAACTCACCCGCCTCGCCACTGTAGGCAAGAGGGCCCTCTACCTCATAGACGACCCCTTCAGTCCTCTCGACGCAGTCACAGCCATGGCCGTGTGGCGAAGAGTTTTCGCACCGGGAGGTATGCTCGATAAGAACAGCAGCATCCTTGCCAGCAGCAACTGAAGGGGCAGACAAGTCGCTAGAGCAGCAGTGGATTGCTGTGGCCGCAGGCAGCACGTTTGTGATAAAAAAGCAGCTGCTTCTCTGCTGCGCTTGAACGCTGCAGCGTTCCTGTGCAGCACAAACAGCAGCAGGAACAGGAGCTCGGGGCTGCGTGTGCTGCGGCCTCCAGGCATCCTGAGTGGACGCACAGTGCTGCTGGTGGTGCAGCAGGCTGCGCTGGTGATGGTGGACCCGTCGGCAGTGTCAAGCTTTGTGTTGGTAGAGGGCGGCGCCGCCAGTCAGTTTTTCTCTCTGAGCGATTTGCAGAGGAGGCAGGGCGGGGCCGTGGGCCCCTTCTTCGAGGGCCTGCGCAGCTTCCCTCTACTTCCAAGCAGCAGCAGCAAGGGTGTCAGTGCGTCTGCGGAGCCCTCTACTGAGTAAGCGCAAGTAAAATGCGTCTTCTTAAGGCTTTTTCTTCTCACAAAAGACGGCCATAAAGCCCGTACTTCTGCATTCTCCTCAGTTCAAGTTGCTGTTAGGCAAACGGTAGTGAAGGGGGTGCAACGGCAAAGGAATCTAAAATGACGCAGCATGCCCACTGCATAAAAGAACTAATGTTTTAGGTTTTCAGGGCTAGGATTTTATATTTAGGGCCCAAGAGTCCCGCAGCAAGGCACTGTTCAGTAACTGGTCAAACCGATGAAAGTAGCTTCCGCTGCGCCGCAAGCAGCAGCCCCTTGCGCATTCTGCATGCTGTAATTTACGTTTGCTAGTGTTTTATTGCTGCGTTTGAACCCCCAGAGACGCGCAGACGATGAAGGAAAGTGGAGAGCATCAGAAGAGCTCGCCAAGGCCTCCCATTGCAGTGCCGCGCCCAGCGGCTGCGGCTCCAGCTGCTGCTTCCGTTGCTTCTGCTGGAGCGCCTCAAAAGGCGCCGCAGGATGGGAGTTCTTGGAAGATTGAAGTTTCCCCAGCTGCATGCCCAGAGGCGACACGAACCGGCAAAGTGGCTTGGAGAGTGTGGCGGCTTTACATGCGCAGCGCCGGTCTTCACATGGTGCTCGTGTTGCTGCTAGCCTGTGCAGTAAGCCCAGGGAGCACAGCAGCATCGAGAACAGCAGCCGCACCAGCAGCAGCAGGACCTGCCGCAGCAGCAGCAGCAGCAGGAGGCCAAGTATGCAGTTTTTCTTTGTGCGCACTTCCACCTGCAGGCGAGCACATACTGCACTACATTGTGTGACTACTGGCTGCGGCGCTGGACAGCCCGGGGGCCTCCTCCCCTGCGCAGCTTGCATGCGTTTGTGTTAGAGCGCACGGGCAACAGCGCGCGGTCGGAAGATTTGTTTTACTTGTTTGGCTACTGGGGCCTCGCTATTTTGTCTGTTGGCTTTTCCGTCATCACCACTGTGGCCTTCGTGCGGTGTGGCGTCAACGCGTCTTCAGTGCTGCAGGCGAACCTCTTGGCTGCGCTACTCAGGTGACCTTTCGCTGTCTGAGTCTATTTTCCCTGTACATCTCCGCAGCTGTTGTGCTGCCCCTATTCTAGACAGGCTCTTGTTTTCTTAACATTGAGCATGACTCAACACTGGCTTGTTCATTTGCATGCATTTGGCTTGTCCTTCAGGGCCCCGCCTAAATGGTTTGACGAGGAGCCAATTGGCCGTTTGCTGAACCGTCTCTCAGACGACATATTTTGCATTGATGAAGGCCTGCCTCATGCCTTTCACACTCACATTCTCATTATAAGTGAGGAGCAACAGCAGCAGCCTTGGGAGTTAAAAGAGGCTGCCTAGGCTTACTCCCCTTCTGTTGGCCGCCATTCCTTTCTCCCCAACGATCACCTTGTCTCACACAGCGCTCTGAGCCCGTGGACCCGTCACTGGCAGCAGATCTGAAAGAAGTTTCTGGTTGCTTTCTGTTTTTCTTTTTGCGTTTCCCGCTGCAGTGGCTATGGTTGCTAAGCTGACACTGCTCAGTCTAACGGTGCCTTCCTTGCTGCTCGCAATTCCCGTTTTAGGATATTTCCTCCTGCGCACAGCCTCCAAACTACGCGCGGCCATCAGGTCACCAGAAGCCGTTGGACTTTAGCACTCTAGGCTCCAGGGTTTAGAGTTTATGCTGCAAGCCTCATGGCCGTGATTAGTCGCTGCTGCTCCATGCAGAGTTTGAATGTGCCTATTCACTTGTCACTTTAGTAGCATTTGCACCAAACATTTGCACCAAACAATATGTTCCTCCATATCGCATCACCGGCGCACCAACGTGTCCAGCTGTGTGGCCTTCTGCAGATCTTTAAAGAGATTGGAAACAGTCGCGCGCTCCCCCCTGCACTGTCTCCTAGCGGGGGCGGTGGGAGGCGGACGCACTTTGCGTGCCTTCAGGTGAATCAGCGGTGCACTAAAGGCTCCCATCAGCCAAGGTTGTTGTATTTGTGTTTTGTATTGCGTATGCGCTTGTGCTTACGGGCATCTTTTATGGATTAAAACCAACAGTCTTGTGCGGATGATAAGGATCAGAATGCCGGCGTATAGATGGGAAAAACATGAATATGGGCATCTCCCCTCCTGCACGTGTGCTCGTGCACGTGCAGATGTGTGTTTGCATGTATTTTCAAGTAAAACTTGTATGTTGCATGTGAAAATGAGTTTGTGCGCACATATTATCTGCGTCTGTATCAGCAATGGTACGTGTGATTGCGCCCAACACCTAATGTGTTAGTGTTCCTTGGTGTGCATGTATGAAAACATGCACTTGTAAATGTTTATATTTCTCTGAAATTAAGCCAAGCGGCAAGTAAACGTATGATTAGATGTGAAGATTCAACTTCACAGATCTGTTGGGTTCCTGTGTGTTCGTGCTTTCTAAGTGGACTAGTCCTAAGTTCTGCCTGATTCGATTCCACCTCCTGTCTCAAGGTGTTGGATGATCATTTGCTTTCGAACATGATCTCTGTGCAATGCACTGCAGTCAAGGCTAGGACATTTTTTGAATTGCGATGTTCATGTTCACTGTGATAATTGCTCACTTTTTTCTCCTTGGTCTCAGGGCAGAGTGCAGGTACTTCAGTCGCTGCCTCAGTGCATTGTTGCTGTACGGCAATACCTCTTATTTGAACACTTGTCTGCAAGCGTGGTTGGCCCTACGTCTGCAACTCATTGGAGCCACCCTCCAGGCGCTTCTCCTGGCTTCTGTCACTTTGCCTCTCTACTTCTGGCCCTCCCGCTTGGAACAAGTTAGTCCTTTTCCTCTCCGCTTCAACTTCTTTGCGTGCAGTTGACTGTTGCCATTTTCTTCTTTTGCTTCAGGACATTTTTCGTTGTCCCTGAGAGAATGTTTAATTTCTCCTCCATCCGTTTTATTTTGCTCCTTGTATATCTCCGTGCCTCCCTGTGCGTCGCCTGTGCTTCCCCTGAAGCAAATGCTGGCAGCCAGTGGCAGCTTTGTGGGCTGTCTTCGTCTCTAAAAAGTATAACTCACTACGGTTTTTTGCTTATATTGCATCTCATTTGGCATTATATGCGGCTCTGCATTTACAACAGGTAGTAAATCGTGCAGCAACTAAAATGTGTGACCTGGTGCGAGCTGAATAATTGCCTAGTCTCATTCTGTCTTGCCCTGTGCCTACTTGTCTCCTCTTTGTTACTTCTTTGACGGCCGGTATCTCATGTTCTGCAAATTCGTCTCTTATACCTCTTCTCTACATATATTTTGGTGTTCATTGTGGGAACCTGTCGTATTTCTGATTGTTCAGGTGCGGGGAGATATGGCGGGACTTTTAGCTCTTAGTCTCTACGCTGTGGCGCCTCTTGTGCGGCTGCTGACGCAAAGCATTACAACGTTTGTGCGGCTGGAGGTCCAAATGGTCTCCGTCGAAAGAGTCAGAGACTACTTGCTGGTACGACCGGCCATTTGCACTGAGACTGGATGTTTCCCTGAAGGAACGCCTAAGCTGCGAGTTTTTGCTTCAGCGCCAAGCGCTTCCCCTCTGCTGCGTGCACACTCGCCGCTGCTTCTGCATAGAAAGCCAACGCTGCTGCTCCTGCTTATTGCCTGCAGGTGCCGGCAGAGGACCCCAACTATGACGTAATAACGGGGCGCCCGTGGCAGCATCCTGTGTCTGCTGAATCTTCCGTGTGCTTGTCGTGGTGGCGCTGGCTGCGTTGTACGCGGCTGAGCAACAAAAGCTTGCTGCCAATGCACGGCAAGGATGAGGAGCAGCAGCCGCTGCTGACGAGGCCATCTGCTGAAGACTGCCTTGCATGCGCTGACATCAGGGGGCCAGCGCACTCTGCAACTATGGCAGTCCACAGGGCGTCCGTCTCTTCCCGGCAAACTGCAGCAGCAGCTGCTGCTAAGCTCGCCGTCTATGAGACCCTTCTGTCCTTTGGGTCTCAGAGCCGTCAGCTGAACGACGGCATGCGGCCTTGGGCGGCCGCGCAGAAGCAACAGACAGAGGCAGTAGCGGCTCTTTCCTTTCCAGTGGCAGTCCCGCTCGGATTTAGAACAAGAGGAAGAGTTGACTTTGAAAACGTGACAGTGGCATACAGGTCAGCAGGTGTTTCTTAAATTCGTTAATCATATGTTGCAAAATACTAGAAACTTTCTACACAAGTAGAAAGCCTCACGTGCTCAATAGCAGTCCAATGCCATCGAAAAAGTTCACCAAAGCCAACGGATCCCCAGCCCCTGCGATTAGAATTGAAACGTGATTGGCTCTGATAGTGCCACGTTGCAGGACTTGGGGTGTTGTTGTCTTGGTGCAGCGCGGGCAGTCAACCGGCTGTGCGCGGTGTGTCCTTGACGATTCACCCCGGGGAAGCCGTGGGCATTGTGGGCCGTACGGGGGCAGGGAAGAGCACTTTGTTGTTGGCTCTTAGCCGCATGGTGCCTTACACGGGGTGCATAAAGATCGACGGCGTGGACATACAGCGGCTGCCCGTTCACGTGCTGCGCTCTTTGTTGGCGTTTGTCCCTCAAGTACCCACTCTTTTCTCAGGGACCATTCGCTCGAACTTAGACCCCGCCACCACGCGCACAGATGCGGAGCTGTACGATGCCCTCCGCCTCTGTCGACTTGATCATGTTGTGAAGGCCCTTCCGCAAGTAAGAAACGTGACGGCTTTTGGCTCTTTTTTGTTGTGTTGAATTCCATCTAAGGCTCTAATTTGGGGCATGCTGCCCTATCTGTCTTCTTTTCGATGGTCCTTAGGCGTGCCTAGGTCTTCCTTTTTGATTGACTCCAATCTTGTGTCGTCTGTCTCGTACTCTCTTCACTGCCATTATTGAGTGCATTACTGTATCGTTCAGCACAGTTTCTGGTAGCAGTCTGTCTTGTTTATTCACAGCAGTCACCGTCGTTTATTCGGAGAAGTCACTGTTGCCGGTCTCACGAGAGCATTTGCACTTGTTGGGTGTTCACAGGGTCTAGATACTCCAATCGCTACTGTGGACGAGGCATCTTCGGTAGAGTTCCGCATTAGAAGATCTCGCAGGATGCAAGGAAGTGTGTCCCTTCGTTGTTTTCAGTTTCGGCTGCTGTTACCCAACATACTGTTGCTGCTGCTGCTTGTCAGTGTAACCTTGGGCCCAATATTTCCATACACATCGGCGCATCAGATAACAGCAGCTGGGCAGGAATTGTAAAGCGATTTTCTTGCTGGGATGGAGAAGGCCTTGGCGTTGCAGAAGCAGTGGCAATAGACTACACACGCGGCAGCAGCTGACTGCTGCATGCATTATGCTTTGTCCCATTTATGCAATTCGTTGAATGCATAGGCGCTTAATGCATGTTCCTGTATGCATGTTCCTGTCTGGGTCTTGGCAGGCACGCGCATGCGCTTGAGTTCGCCTTCGAGCGTGGGGCTGCGGCACAGCGAAAGTGACGCGCAGTCGAAGCGGCTGGGGGCCCCTTCAGTGCCAAGCGCTAGGGACAACCAACAGCCAAGTCATCCCTCCCCCTCCTCTCGCTTACAAGTGGACGGGTCGCCGGCGGCCCCGAGGAACGCCGCCAAGCAGGCGGGTGGAGGGGGCAGTCAGAGCATCCGTTTGTCTATAGGTCAGAAGCAGCTGCTGTGTTTCTGTCGCGCGCTGTTGAGAGACGCTCCTATTTTGTGTCTCGATGAAGCAAACAGCGCCATGGATAGCTCAGTGGAAGAGGAGGTTCTCGTACCTGTCATCCGGTGGTGTCTGAGGTAAAGATACACTTAAAGACGCACACGCAAAGCATTGCGCCGTCAGTGTTCGGCCTAGGGTGGCTTGCAAGCCTGGTGGGAAAATATTGAACTGAAATGATTTACTTAATTCCATCAGCCTGCAGAGCCTAGTGGAATCTACATTTATAACAATCCGATGAGATCGGTGTAGTTGAAATTGTGCAACACGGATGCAACGCAGCAGGCATTTTGGCTTTTATGACCCTTTAGTTTCTGTGTTACTTACAAAGCCTACGCCACGCAAAAACTGTAGAAGGCTGTCGCACGAGGCTGTGTCACCTTTGGCAGTGTTGTGTGTGTACTTCTGCAGGCGTGGGAGTGTTTTGATTGTATCTCACCGTCTTCAGCACTTGCCTTCTCTTTGTCACCGTGTCGGTGTTGTGGGCGAAGGCCAATTACTTGAGTTCGCCCCTCCTCGCAGTCTCCTCAGAGACAAGCACTCGCGCTTTCACGCCCTCTACGCAGCAGCCAGGGGCGCAGCAAACCCCGAGAGCAGCAGCAATCTCAGCACACCGGAACAGCAGCAGTAACAGCAACGGCATTTTTCTTTGTAGGCAGAGCACCTGGATGAGTGAGGCCTCAACCCCTACAACCACTTTTCGGGGTTCAGGGGCAGCTCACCCCGTTTGCTGCACGCATACATCTTCCCGCAGTGTCGAGGATGAAGCGTGACAGAAGCTGCTGCTGCTTTTTTCCGTTGACTGCAGCATCGTTGAGCCACGCTGTTTGGGTTGCGTCTAGAGCCTTGTGCAGCTGTTCTTCAGATATTTTTCTTGCTGAGCACTCGCTTGTATAGAGCTGCGGCTGAATAGTGTAGTGCTGGGGGAGGCCTTCTTTCTCGATGTGCACAATGAAGATACTTCAAAGCTTTGAAAAAAGAGAGACCCAGGGAAAGTGCCAAGATGAGCAGAGTTCGACCAGTCAGCAGTTGCGCAGAGTAGTCGGACAGCAGACCAACCACATCGCAACTCTGTGGGGTGAAGGCACAAGGGGCTTAGCGCACGTAATTGTGCTCCTGCTACCCAGGCTACCCTAAACGAACTATCAAATAGTTACTTTGGTGAATGAATGCTCTCCTAATTTTGTGTAGGTGGTCCCATGTAAGGCTTAGGCACATTTCTTGCTGGAGCAACGGATCGCTGCCCTTTACTTGGGTACGCCAGATTTGGATCCGGCTCATGTAGCCTAGCCCGAGCCTTTGAGGCTACAAAGCCCTTGTTGTGCAGATTTGTCTCGTTTGGTACTTTCTATTTCGGTAATCTGGCTACTTCCTTTCAGGCAGCTAGTCCAGGTAGTTCTTCAAGATGACAGCTAGCCTGTCTCGTGAGTCTATAGTATTACTGAATGAATCTGCGGGAATATTGGATGAGTCCGTAGGATAAGTAACGATTGGTCTGGTCCGCATCAGGATATTCGCTGCGGCCAGTTTTCTTTCATTTTTGACGTGCTGGGATCACGCTGCGGCGAATTCTCAGGGCTAGTCGTTTGAGTGTCTCACGGTGATCTGCTTGGCTGCCATCACCACCAGTGGGAGGCCTCACGGTTCGTACAAGCCGACTGACAACCGAGCCATCACTCCATAGCAGCCGTGCAGATGCAAGCATGCATGACTAGGCAGGACAGGAAAGCGCCGCAGTCCGCATTCCTTCATTCTCTGTAGGTTCTTAAACGTTGGCAGACATGCATACTTGCAAGCATGCGTGCATGCAAGCATATGTGTGCACTCGGATATATGAGCAGTTGCACTTCAGGCCTAACGTTTGTTCTATCCACACTTCTCAGGAAGAGGTGCAAGGAAGCAGTATCTCCAGCTATGTGCCTAAGAAGAGCTGCCAGTCTAAATTTTTCTCTGCGTCGTAAGCGTTGCATCCGGTACACCCTCATGTGTTGCATTGTGGCAGCACCAACTAAGTGCCATAAGCTCTCTACTGGGAAATTAAATACTCCGATGACATATACAAACTGCAACAGTCAACTGCGACAGCTTGGTTGGTGGCCGTCTTCTATATGGACGTCCCAGCGCTGCATCAAATAGACAGGGGAGGCGCGCCTGAGGACAAAGAAAGATGCTAGCTAGTTCCCTACAGCGGTGGCCAAAACGAAAAGAGCAGGGGACCTCACAAAAGCAGCGAATTACGTGCAAGTGAAGGCATAGCGCATGCGCCTCCTGCACGTCTGTGAACTATTTAAACAAAACACATCAAAGAGAGACGCGGACAAGTGCAGCAAGAAGCACGACAGGCCTCCCGCATCGCCGCGCCTCCAGCTGTTCTTCATCTGCCAAGGCAGGAGCTGTTATCTCCAGTCATCACTCCTGACGGGTCGGTATCTGTCGGACTGCTGGTAGCGTTGCTGCTGCGGCTGCTGGGCGAGTCCTGAAGCAGCTGCAGCTGTGGCCGCCGCTGCAGCCGCAACCGCAGCAGCGGCAGCTGCGTTGCCACTGTTGTTTCCGTTGTTGCTGTGTGGGTTGGGTGCGCTGACCAGTTCGGGGCTGTTGGAGTCCCACAGCGTGTTCGTTGGCGTGGTGTTTCCGGAAGGCTTCCGTTTCAGTGTGGCTCGCTGTTGCCACGAGTTCTCTACACCCGCCCTCCAGACGCAACAGAAGCACGGCAGCAGCAGCAGCGCTGCAGCGCCCAAGACCAGCAACAGAAGCGCTAAGTTGGCCCCCGTCGGCCTGAGCCTGTCACACACCAGCTCCCGCACCGGCTGCCACTCGTTGTGAACTATCCGGCAGTCCAAGTTAGAAGCAACGCTGCGGAAATCGTCGCTTAACACTCGGTAGACGGCGCTGCGCGCCTCGAAGAATACACGGAGCTGATCCCATAGACTCTCCAGCTGTGCAGCCACAAACATGAGCATTAAGACAAGGCATGAGTTGCGCCATGAAAGTTCAACAGCAAGGCTCGGACGTATAGACACTGATTTGTGAAGAGCTTCTACCTCTCTTTTTCGCGCGGAAGGATCGGATTCTTGAAGTATACTTTGCGCTTAGGCGTTCTTCTTGCTCGCTATGAAGTGCTCCTATACCACTTGTCTCAATCAACACTTTCGATATCTGTGTCTCTATCGTATCTGTGCCTACTCTCTTACAGTTTCTCGATATATTTGGGCCTTCTATTCACATATCTGCTTCTCTATCTTTGAGTTCGCTTATCTGTGCCTCGTTTCCGTTGCACTGTTCTCCTTTGCTTCGTCTATTTGTGTGTCTGTGTCCGCCACTAAACCCCTCATTCTCTACCTCGCTGTCTGTTTCCTTCTCACTTGTTGATGCATTCTGCTGAGCAGTTGGTTGGTCGCCTCTTGGAACTCTTCAAAGTTGCACGAAGTCCAATGAAGGGGCCTTTCGTTGTTCTGTGTGGTTCTTCGGGGGCAGGCAAAGGACTTAGCGGTGTCTGCGCGCAGTGCCTCTTTCTTTGCCGCCCACCAAACTGCATTTCTAAACAGCAGTTGTTCCTCTTGTGACCCTTTTGTTTCTGCTACTTCAAACACAAGGGCAGACTCGGCGTCGAATGAAGCGTCTATGGTAAGGGCCGAGTCGTCGCCGCTGTTGCTGCTGCTATGGAGGGAGGAAAGCAAGAATGGGGCCACCAAGTCCTCTAAATCTTCCATTCCGAAGATCACGATTCGGTCTCCCTTTCCTGCGGCCAGGGGGCCTCCTGCTGCTGTTTGCAAGCATTTCTCTTGCAGAAGCTTGTGCAGCGTGGACCTTTGGCGTGCCTGTTGCCTTTTTCTTCTAACTGCTTCTGCCCTGGAGACATCAATGCTTCCTCCGTTTCTTTTGGCCGCCTGAATTTCGGCGTTTGCCTGCCCAGCGAGGCGCACTACTGCCTGCAGCAGCTGCGCCTTTTCGGCCTCTGACTTACCTGCTGCCAAACGCATCAACTCGACCACTAAGCCCTGTATCGAGGACTTCACGCCGTCTTCCCACCTGCCGCTGCTACTTTGAACTCCTCTGATCGCCTCTTGGAAGGCCGTTGAGAGTCGCTCTGCATCTCGGGGGTCAGGACTGAACTCTTGAAGGAGAGCTGCCAGTTCATCTGCAGGCTCAGTATCTCCGTTTTGCAGCAGGGAAAACGCCCCTATTGCTTTCAAAGCAGGCCCAACCTCGTCGTCGGGTTGTGGCCCTGGCGCTGCTGGCGATGCGCCTAGGCTGAGGTACTTGGCCTTGATTGTTCGCTGCTTGTCTTGGACTCCGCTGCAGAGCACTTCCCTGTACGTGTGGAGCCGCCCCTCCAAATCCTGCAAGGAGCACGCCAGCATCGAAGGCAAATACAAGTCAGGAAGCCCCGCAGCTTGTACTCCTTATCCTGTTGTTTGTCCTACGTCCCTACCTCCTCCTGTAAAGTCATCGGGTCAATGAGGAGAAGCCAGTACGTATTTTCCAAAAGCTGCAACTCAGCTGCTGCGTCTTGCAACTGTAGAGAGAGCAGGTGAGCACCCAAGGCCTCATTCTGCACAGCGTTCTCCCCCGCTTCCCTAACATGCATCCCTGACTCAACCAAATCTGCGCCGCAAGCGTTCGCATGCGCAGATCGGGTGTCCTTTCATGGATTGACGCATTCATAGATATTTACTGAGAAGACTATACTTGAACGTAAGCCTTTACACATATATGCATGCGCACTCATGCCTCCGTGTTTGTGTATGATGCATCCGCGTGTCTGCATGTGCGGGTGTCCTTCAAAGTGCATGCGTGCGGATGCCGCTTTAGGAATCTGCGTACATGAACATGTGCTTGCCTTATGTACAGTGTGGGCATATTTGTTATTGAGTCATACGCTGCCCTGGTGTATGCGAGTAGCCGTGACTCCAGCTGTGCTCAGTTGCAAATGTGTGTGTGTGTGTATTTGCGGGCGCGCAGGAGTAACTTGCAGCACGCAAGCATGCACAGTGAATTGCACATGGATGCGTCCTTTCGTATGCGTGCGCGTCAGCATGTAAATAGCATCTTTCAGTGAAAATAACTGTACAAGAATATTGAACGCAAGCGAAAGTGCAGACGTAACGGTGTTTGCTCGGAAAGAGATGCATGCTGTTGCTTCCGCTGTGGCCAGAATTGTAAGGCAGGAGGCGCATGTGTGTACATTTGTTTACTGCTCGTGAGTAAGTTAATGGCACCGATGCCTGCATGCGTGCTTGCATGGACGTGCATGTGTCCCTATGCACGCGCGCATGCTGTGTCTATGTACGATTGTAAATATCCGCATCTTGGCAGCGTTCTTTAGTGTGAGCACGAGAATATCCGAAAGTTTAATTTCCAAACTGTAGTTCTAGTCAATTCGGATATGTGGATGCGTGCATTTTATGCGCACTGTTGTGTAGGTGCTGGTTTCTTATACGGATGGATCACTGTTTGTGCAGGAGCACAAATACGCAGGTTCTCCGGATGCACGTGAACACAAGCAGTAGCTGCTACAGGTGTACATATACATATATGTATACATCTATATATATTTATATTTATGAATAAAGGCGGGATGCGTGTATGAAAACGTATACAGGCAGACGTATGCGTTCGTTTGCACCTATCTATGCAGATGCACATGAGTTCTGCAACAGGCTCAGTGAATCAGTGCAAAGATATACAATTTGCACAAACATGAACAGCAAGATGCTAAAATGATCAGCACAGGGCAGCAATACACCGACGGCGTCATGTCCGATATGTACAGACATCGAATTACACATTTAATCAGTCACATGAAGTGTATCTGCGCGGTCAGCAACAGTGCCTCACCGCCAATGTCAAACACGCGCACCAAGTCCCTCTCCTGGTTAGGGAGGAAACAAGCGCTCAGGAGTCGAGCTGCTGTGCTGTTAGACCCCACAGAAGCGCCCTCGGAAAATAAGGCTTGTCTGTTCGCAGCTCCAAAATATTGCAATAGATCGTCGACGTCTTTCTCATCTTTTAAGCAGTTTTCCATGTACAGGCAGCCGTCAGTCACTGCCGCAGTACCCAGCAGAAGCCCGCCGCTTGCCACGAGTGCTGCATAGGCAACAATCAGCTGAGCCGCATGGTTGCGACTTAAAAAGGCAAGTCTAGAGCAGATTCACAAGTAAGCAGACGAACGAGAACAGACTAGTCGTTGAAGTGAGAGGCAGGCAACGTAACAGCTGAGGTGCACCACGAAGTGTACAACCCTACCTGCTGAAGACGCCAGAAGCAAAAGGAACAAACAGCCGCAGCTTGTTCTTTTGCGGTCTACAAGAGCGTCGCGATTGCAGCAGCAGAGGCAGCACATGTAGAAGGAGGCTAGCAGCAGCAGACAGCCAATCAGAGCAGACACCGCTATGGAGCCCTGAACATAGTAGCAGCAACAGCAACAGCAGGCACTAAATCGTTATATTGCGCATTTACTGTTGTTTCATGCATTCAAAAAATTAAACCAGCAGAAACAACAGCAGCACAGATAGCCATAAGATCCAGTAACGTCTGCAATCCTTACCCAATAGAGGGGTCCACTAAGTTTGGAAAGCTTTCCTACTGTACGATGAGCGGTGTCGAGTGTGTCCTTGAGTGCTACTTTGGCCTTATGCAGCTCTGTTGAGGAAGGCAAGTTATTTGTTTGCTGCACATTGTTCTCCATGTCCACTGCCAGCCTGTCAGACGCCTCCGCTATTGACAGGAGGCTGTGAGGCAGCAAATGGACAGCGGTCTCCCAAGAGCTCAACAGGGAGGCAGTGGCAGTGCCCAAAGGCGAGATGTGGTAGCTCGCCTGCAGAGAGTCTGATGTCTCCCCTCCTACGGAGATCCGCATTCCGCTGTTGGCGGGATTGCGCAGAGTCTTGTACACATAGCACAGCAGCAGGGCAGTCAGCATATGAAGCGGCACTGTCTTGCTTGGCAGTAACACGAACTTCACTTACGGTTGAAGTAGTCAATCTGCTAGGATATCGTGCAACTCAGGGGCAAGGTTGTCAAAGTATTCCTGGGCCCACGCTACACAGCTGACATTCACCTTAATCGCTGAAACCTGGCACTGAAGGTGAAGCGAATAATTTATTGGCGCACCTCCTGTAGCGTCTGCAAGTTGTCCTTTACGTCAGCCATTGTTTGCGTTATCTGAAATGCCAATGCGCTGGCGCTCCGAAGCTGGCTAGGCAGAGAGTCTTCGCGATGAGGATCCAAAGCCGCTGAGAGGCTTTCAAAACTGCGTAGAGAAAGTAGCGCCACAGGTCGCGAGAACATAGACAAAAATAGATAAAAATACCTCCAGCAGCAAGTGTAGCAGGTGCGTTTACGGCAGTTCAGGAAGAGCTTGCTTACTATTCTAATGCAGGGACTGCTCCAACGAAGCCTGTGCGGTTCGGAGCTGTCTCGTTTTCGGCTGCTGCTGTTTCTTCTTCCTGCAGCAGCCTCGGGTCTTCTTCGTCTGCACCAGTGAAGCAAGCTTCAAGAATGTTCTGCTGCCATTTGTCTCATAAACGAATTAGAGGTGAATGTCTGAACTGTTGTTATTTCGAAACATGATAAATGATGGTGTGGAAAGTTTTGCACGTACATGCCTCTTCCAAGTGGCGAAATGCGGTGGGGGCGGCACTGTTGGGCTGCCCAGCAGAAGGAAAAAGAAGCGATGGTGAAACAGCAGCCGCCGGGGTAGAAAGCAGCGCCGAAGTGAAAGGGGAAGGAGCTGAAAAGGGCGAAGTGAAGGCGGTGGTTCTGTCGGGACTAATGGAGGGCGCGGACGGATTTGCAAAGGTCTGGCCGTTGATAATGGTTGAAGCCGCTTGTGCAGCCGAGCAGCTAAGCTGAGATACCTGCGCTCGAAGGTCTACCATGACATAAATTCCAATTCCCATAGCAACTAGCACTACAAGTATTGCCGCAATCAGCACCAGGTACCTCAGACCTAGGCAGGCACCCCTTGGTACTAATTTGCGGACGCTTCCTCGGTACTGAGAATCTGAAGCGGCGGTGCTGTTGCCACTGGAATTCGATCTCTCCATATCTATCCGGTGGCGTTTTGTCAGCTTGAAAAATACCCGAATGCAGTAGAAACAACTGCAAAGCCTGCGCAACAGAGAGAGACACTTCCACAGCATTTTCTTCGTTGCAGAGACAAGTTAGGGGAATATAGTGTTCTGACCATTTAGGGCCGAAAATACGCATGTACCTCCTGCAGGCTTTGCAATTCCGTAAGCAGAAAAGGAGGAGAAATAAGGGCAACAAGATTCCTGCTATGGCGAGGCCGATGACGGCAGGTAGGAGATAGTAAGGCATTGTTTCTATGTAGGCTACTCCTAGCCGCGCAGGTGGGGGCAGTTTTATTGCTGCAGCCGCTCGGTTTGTATCTGAGAGGAGTAACGTCGGTTGCAGCTGAGAACTGCCATTCTCAACCAATTTGAGATTTGACCACGAGTATATTCCGTGAGGGATTTGACCTTCAGCGACAGACTTTGCTGACCCAGGTGGATTTGAAGTAGTTTCGGCAATTGCCATATTTCGAACAGTGGAGTGGAATTGTGTTACAAACGGTTTTCTATTCTCGGAAATCGCTTTCGGGAGGGCGCTGCTAAGTCCACTCTTGTTCACGCACACGTTGAAGACCGCAAGGACTGACTGGACACAAATTCGCATACAAATGTACACAGCAAGGCAGATGAAGGCAGAAGCGCGCTGCTTACTTGATTTCCGTCAAAAAGAACTTACGCGGGGAATGGCTGAAGTGTCGGGGTAGTAAACAACCCTACAGGCTTCATCCCTGTATTCGTCCACCCAGGCGGCATATTTTCCATCAGCTGACTTGAAACATTCGTCTGGGTGTGCTCCTAATAAGCACGTAGACGCTGTGTGTGCCTCTGAGCCCTCAGCTGAGTGTTCATGCTCATTCGCAAGGAACCCGCCATCGTACTCCTCCATCGTGCCTTGTGCGACCGTGCTGAAACCCACGGGATAAAGGGACAAGGAAGATCACTAGGCCAGGTCATTCCCAGTCGGTCGCATACCAAGTGCTAGGTTCCGCGTTTCTTGCCAAATTGTTAATTCATTCGGAAGCCAGTTCAATGCCAGCGAACTTTAGAGCCCTCGGGGGCTCAATAACAGGCAGTAAGGTTCACATGCACGAAATCCGAAAGAGTTGCCCTTCTACGTGAATGAGGTCAGCGAATGGCCAGTTTAAGCCAGTAAACCGGAACAGCGAGCGTTGGCCTAGGCACTGGAGAGAGAGAACAGAACGAAGTAGGGTGTCAATCGCTATGAATAGCACAGTAAGTATAAGTACTTTCCGTAGTTGTTGAGTTGGACATAGGAATAACGAAATTTGCAAGAGGAAGATTAGAGAAGACACTTCTGTGACAGATCGTTCAACAGATTGGCTCTTTGCATGTGCACTGATCGTTCGTTCTATGTCAGCCTGTAGTATCTGTGGCTCCAGCATTGCGGATTTCTTGCTAATATATCAATATTGTCCAGTCACATTCACTTAAAATGCGGAAATGGATTGAAGTTTTTCGGATCAAGATCAATGAGCTAACTACTCCTGATGGACGATCCAGTGACGGTCTTGCAAATGTGACACAGGAGGAATACCCAATGTGTACGAGCATTTAGGATTCAAATACACTCAAAACTAAAAACAAGTTTAATTTTTCACGTGGACGTTCTGCAAATTGTCATTTATTTCGTGGCAGTTGTGCCTGTCTCATGTTGCACCGAAAGAAGTTCGTGTGGCAAGGAGTAAAGTGAGAAAACGAGAACATGAATACACTGGAACCCAATACAAAACCGGGGGTTACCGATGCACAAACCGGGGGTTACCGATGCACAAAACACGAAAAGTGTCAAACACTGAGCGCCGGAGTGGCTCTGCGGTGTACGTTCACCTGAGATAATCAGTGGGTCTTGCACACCGGATCCGCGCCACTACTTCCAGAGTTTCGTCCTTCGCTCTTCCACGGCTTCTTACGCACAAAATCTCGATAAAATGTGGAAGTCACTTTTCCTCATAGCCATTTCTGGCACCCATTACTCTAGCGCTTCGGCGAAGGCTATCGCCGATGGCTACACTCAAATGGGCCAGCCGTTCCGCTTCAACAAGAACTCTGTAGTCGCGCCAGCCTTTGAGGAAACAAGCTCTGAAGCTTGGTGGCCATCCAAGGGAAGGTCTCCTCTACGCAGAAGCCAGCACGCGTATGACTGACTGTTCTTAAGCTGCCACATACTTGTTGTTTCACGCAGTTATTCAGACAATTGGACCAGACTTTTGACGTGGCCATGCACACAGACACGTCTTTCCCCAGCCCGTTCGAGCAGCCTGAGAAATGTGTTGCTTTTTCAAGGTAAAGTAATTAGCTTGTCCACAAATTACATACTATGGCGATAATGAAACGTGAAATTGCAGCCTGTCACATTCGTGGATATGCGACCCCGACCACTTGCTCTCTCCTGAAGAGCAGAAGTTCGTTGAGGCGCGCCTCCTTAAGCTTCGCGACACTGCACCGAGCACGTGCAGCGACTCCCAATACTACCAAGTAGGAATAATTGGCTCCGAAGCTCCTCCAACTTGAATCATTCGAATGCAGACTGCTGTAGCTGTCGCGTCAGATATTGCTGTGAATGGAAACGAGACACCACAAGAAGCAACCGATCGCTTCGCCGAATCACTGCTCAGGTATTAAATTTCCCGTAGCTGAATTTGGCCAGCTCAATCTAGAGATTTTTCTCAGGCGTTGGGGCGTTGGTAATAAGGGCTGCCACGATGGCATCGTCTTGGCTTTCGTCAAAAACCTGAAAACTGTCAGCCTAGCCACTCGAGGTATGTTTGAAGTGCACTGGAGACCTACTAAACTTCGAAAGCTATTGACTAAACAGAAAATGTGGACACCCGCGTTGCAAGCGCTCTTTTCAAGACACACGTACAACGTTCAATGAACCACGTGTTCCTCTCTACCGGCTCCCCGGCGGCAGCAGTGGCAACAGGCGTAGAGCTTGTACATCGTCATTTGCCTCGCGCCCCAACTGGTGAAGTCCTTATAACACGTTTTGCCTTCTTGCATGGCGCTTATTAACTTGTATCAGGCTTGAGCTGGAGTGCTACCATACTCCTTACTTTGGGTGGAGTCTACCTTGCGTCTGTGCTCGGGATCTACTATTCTCTGAATACCTTCATGATGAAGAGCTACACTATCGAACAATAACTTTCCGATGGGCAAAGCCTTTTGTGAGGTTATTCCCTCGTTTTCAAGTAATATTTCGACTTCCTGGGGCAAAGATGCGACTCAGAGAACAGAAACCAAAAGTACTGTAACCCAATAGCGGGAAGCCTTAGCGTTTTGAAACTCTGACAAATATGTTTAGTTTCACCTTTTGGCCCCATAACTGTTCTAGTTTGTAGGTAACATTCCTTCGCATTTGCAGGAGGATACGACCTCTTATGCCACAAATCATTTTTGCAACTTGCGCAGACTTCACCATCAATTCCTGCAGCAAGTAACACAGTACAGGTCACAACCGTCTTACATACACTCTTCATCCTAACGGAACAACAGAGGTTTGTGTGCACGCCTTACATGTTCAATCACTACGTAGCCATCTCGATATGTCCATCCAACTGTTTGCTGATCAATCCGATAGGGAACATCTTTATTAAACCAACAAAACAAATACGTCCTGCTCAATCACACAAACTCAAACAAGGCCTGTAACGTGAAATAGTAAAGCAAATGTAAGACCAGGAAGGCGAGGGAGAAAAACCTTCAATGCGAAATGAGGCTTGCCTGATAAGCTCTTCGACTTGCTCTACTTTCGAGAGGCTCGTTCGCTGCGGACATAGCACAGAAGCGTAGAGGAAACTCTCCGCTGCAAAGGCGAAAATGGTTAGTCCTTATTTACAGCAAAAAATGCAAGGAAAACGGTTAGTCCGTGTATGCAGCAGAAAATATGAATAATTATGAATTAGTCCCGTGCACATACCATCTCGGAAGGAAAAGCCCATGGGCGTGGAATGGCCTCGCTAACAAGATAATCAAGCAAGGAGTCAGTTCCTCGTTTGTATTTGGCTGAGACGTGGAAAGTATTCTGAAACTGGCCATGTGACCTGCATCGAAAAGCCAAGGCGTCACCTTACAGCACTAAACTGACTGAAGTCATCTCTGGCATTTAGCGCTCCTTCTTAGTGCTCAAACTAGGCATACTTACAAAAACTCCTTTTCCCTAGCGTGTATCCACTTTGGATGGGATGCCAGATCAATCTGAGATCCGCAACAGGACAGAAATGCCTTGGATGTAGGTCCTTCGTGCGGCCCCACTACAGGTAAGAATTCAAATCCTTCGTTACGGACTCATGAGCGTGTACCTTGTTAAGGCACAAAATTAGGGGAATCCGCTGTGGTTGCCCATCTAGCTCAGCAACTTCACCAGCGTTGGCTAGGCGCTTGCGCAATGCTCCTGGAATCCCTGCTTCCCACATTTCATCCAGGGATGGACAGCACGTCAGGCTACTCGTCGACTCATCGTCGGATGCTGAACATATCGAAATCATCCCCAATGCATCACATCGCCTTCACAAAAGGCTAAAAGTAACAGAAATCGACACATCAAGTGCGCGGCCAAAGTCGTGTAGTTAAGGCACAAAATTAGGGGAATCCGCTGTGGTTGCCCATCTAGCTCAGCAACTTCACCAGCGTTGGCTAGGCGCTTGCGCAATGCTCCTGGAATCCCTGCTTCCCACATTTCATCCAGGGATGGACAGCACGTCAGGCTACTCGTCGACTCATCGTCGGATGCTGAACATATCGAAATCATCCCCAATGCATCACATCGCCTTCACAAAAGGCTAAAAGTAACAGAAATCGACACATCAAGTGCGCGGCCAAAGTCGTGTGTTATGTTGCCTCCCACAGTTCTACTGTTTTCTTAGCAAGTCGTGATAAACTTGCCCGATCTGTGAAATCCAGATTGAGAAAGACATGGTTTTGGGGCTATAGCGCGAACAACATTAAAAATTTGCTGTGTGGGCCGCTTGACAGTGTCCACCACTAGAATTCCCAAGTCTGCATCATCCTAAAGCAGCAACGTAGAGAAGGAAGGCATGTGCCACATTCACAAGGAGCCTCTATTTTGACAAGAGTATAAGAAGGCAACGTATCCACTGTTAGACTCACATAACCCCTCCACGCAGCATTCACGAGCTCTCTGCAGAACGTCTTCTTAGGGTGGGACCCAATGATGCCTGTGTTAACAGAACAGAAGTATAGCAGCCAAGGCTCTGATAGCCACAACTTTCCCTAGTTCTTTACTCGAGAAATCAATAGCACGGCATCGAATACTTCCAAGCACCGTATCGCATCCGCGTTTTTACGCTGGCTCGTTGCAACTTCCAAGAGGTCACCTGGAGCATCGACGAAAACCAGTTGGCAATTTCCTTTAGTAACCATTCCACGGAAGTCAGTTCTGCAGCAAACACAAGATATATCATGTATTTCACGGCAACTCAAACTGCTTCTACAAGCACCCAATATAAACTTTTTTGGCGTGGTACACGTTTGTTGTAGGTACCTTGTGGTATTCACTTTGTTGGATACCGCTGAAACGGTGACACCGAGCAAAGCGTTCAGCAATGAGCTCTTCCCTGCGTTTGGTGGGCCAATAAGTGCTATAGTTAGAGATTTGGGGTGCTCAGGCTGAAGTGGCGGCTCCCACGTTGTAAACTGTGCCTGTAAACAAGGCATCCGAAGTGGTATCCAGCGAAGAAGTTTCTCGCGTTCATATAATTGTGTTCTTCGTACAGCCCAAGCACTGCCGCTCTTTCATGCTTCGTTGTGTATGCCTTACTTCCGCGGGAATGGGACCTCTTACAGCAGGCCAATAAAAGGAACTGCGGCCTGGAGGCACAGAGGAGGGTGTGGCTTCTACAAAAAAAAAGCAGCAGCAAAGCTTCCGGGAAATACGCAACACTTACGAACCCATATACATATAATAATGAAAGGTAACTTTCCAGCGTTGGTCATGTACCGCCAGCAAGAAATGTGGTTGTGGCCAAGACTGTTGCGAAATGCAGTGGAAACAAGCTACCCACCTGAACTGTTTATTAATAGTGGGTTTGTAGCTGCTTCTGGTTGTGTGAAAGGCACCGGCTGTACTAAGTTGAGCTCATCCCGCGCCTGTGGGCAAGAAAAGTATGCATTCAAATCCTGGCATCCACTCAACAACTTGTGGGCAGCACGCCACGCATTGTCTTCTAGATTGTTGCAAGCCGGCGCGTGTTGAATTAAGCAAAACAAATTGACGGACCCTCCTATATCGTTCCATGATTGAAAAGGATTGAGAGCGGGTCAGCTGCGCTTTGCACTCGCAGTGCCAGCCAGCTGGCAGGTGCCGGTGTGGACGCATAGCGACTCTCTGAAGTAGGTTTCCCGTTGAAAGGCATTGAGAGGACGCTTGCAAGTAAGTTGGTTCCCATTTTGGACAGCAGGAGAAGTGCTTTGAGTGTTTGCCTTGACCTCGTGCTGCCCCCTCAACTGCTCGTACAGAAGGCTCGCCATTGCTTCGGGGATAAACAATTTTACCCCGAACAGCGCCTATAAGTGCCACAGAGTTTGCTTGCGGCCTCCATATTGTACACAATTTCGTATGCGTTTTTTGTAGGATGCGCGAGGATGATTTCACATTGACGAAGTGCCTAGTAGGGCCCCTCTCCCACAATGCCACAGCAGTGGGCGCAAATCGAGGGATCTCGGGTCCGACGCTGCAAGCTGACTGAATTATCATCCGCAACGGAGATCAGTTACCGGAAAAAATATATATTTTGCGCTTTCATGGACGGAAATGGCTTGGCCACCCTGCAATCCCGCCGCCGACCAGCTCCACATGCAGAAGGCAGAGGCCCTGCTGCTGCTTATTGAGCATGAACACCATGCATCTTCCGTCCTCCGTCGTGGCCCACTCCAAAAACGAGTTTGCATCATATGCAAATGGTAGTTCCCATGCGGCTCAACTGTAAACAGATTGAAGGCTATCATCTCCTGAATGGACTGCCACCCTGCAATCCCGCCGCCGACCAGCTCCACATGCAGAAGGCAGAGGCCCTGCTGCTGCTTATTGAGCATGAACACCATGCATCTTCCGTCCTCCGTCGTGGCCCACTCCAAAAACGAGTTTGCATCATATGCAAATGGTAGTTCCCATGCGGCTCAACTGTAAACAGATTGAAGGCTATCATCTCCTGAATGGACTGAAGTGTCTTGTGAATGATTCGACACTCCCGAGGAACATAGTAGCATGCATTGCCTGGCCCTTAATGTGAACAAATGAACAGCTCCTCAGGCACTGGAGGAAGCTTTCAGCCCAGAGAAGAGCCATTTCAGTGCCTAATGTGCGACGAACGCTCCAGCAGTCGTAGATCCCAGGCGGGAAGTTTGTGGAAGCTGTTTTCACCTGCAGCTCGGTTTGTGCCGTAGCAATTACTACTTGCAGGTAGGGTCCCCTAACGGCGGTGAGGGACCGAGAAAAGAACGCACAACCTAGCAGGACAACGCGAAGACCAACTCTCCAAGCAGGCCTTCCAACCAGCGCAACCGGCGCATCGTTGCTAGTGATATGAAGAACAGGGCTCCGGCTACGTAAACTATCGCACATCATTGGAAGAATTCAGTTTCTACAATGCTGCGTCTTCACCAGTGCTTTAAACGAACGTAACAGCTGCCACTACGAGTTACTCGCAACTTCAACTCCAAGCTACTCACAATCAAAACTGCTCGCTTTTTCGGTCGCAGCCGCAAATTCCACATTACTGCCCTACACAACAAACTACCGCTATTTCACATTACTGCCCTACACAACAAACTACTGCTATTGCTTAAAGTTTAAATGGTAGAAATCGTTGCCCGCATAAGCGTTGACACTCCGCCGACCCGATTGCGTTATGACAAAAGTTTGAGTCCTTTGAAGACCTTTCCGGCACTTTTTCGTATCGGCACAGATGCTAGTGCTGTCGGAATTTTCTCGGGTTCTTCTTTCCATAACGAGTGGCCGATTTGACTCTGCTCCAGCTTGTCCCGAAGCTTCAGCAATTCAGCCTCCCCTGGGACTTGCAAGACGACTGTTCTCATGCTACTGCCTGCAGCCAAATATGTCTTGGCTTCGTCTCCGTTTCCTGCCATGGAAATCCCTAGCGCATCCACCCTGAAGAGATAGTAACAGATAGCCCGCAACGCCTCGAAGAAAAGCAAATCTCACGAGAAAATTAATTTATAAATTGGGCACTTTGATGCGCACAGTCATTGGGTGCAGTTGTAAGCGCGACTTCCTGTGATTACTCTTCGTCGTGTTTTGCAAAGGCTAACTTGTTTGGCACACGCAGTGAAGACAGTTGCAGAGTGGCTATGCAAGAGTCGTTGGTCAGCAGTGCTATTCACGTAAAGTTCAACACAGCGACTTACGCAGCATGGCACGCTTGAGCCACAACTGCGCCCAGAGGCCAGTTCAGCTTCGCGGTCAAGTCCTTACGCAGCACCACGTATTGAACGAGAGGATCCTCATCACTCAACGAAGATTTCTGCGTTCTGGACTCCTCCGCAAGCTTGCTTGCTGCTTGTGGACCATCTGGTGTCGCCATTACAGCCAAATCTAGTGCCACGGATCTCCTGTTGCCTTTTGAATGCCCAGGATCCCTACACACCCAGGACCGCCTGGAGCGCGTGGGAGGAATACTTCTGCAAGAAGGCACTTTGGTGCTTGTTTCTGCTGCAGGATTAGTCTGGATAGTCCAACAATTGCGTTGGACCGCAGCTGAAGGTGTCACAATAGGTTGCACGTCGGCAGCCGCTGCTGATCCATGGGGAAAAGACGACCTAGGACAAGTCACTGCCTCAGCCGTGTTATCCTGAAAGGAAGCTTTCTTGTTGCGCCTTTGAAGCAGCAAGATTGCCTCTTCTAGGCTAGGAACTCGGCAAACCCGTATAAAATGAGCTCGTTGTAGGTAAACAAGCATCGAGGGAACCCCGTAGAGATCAAGCGCCACCAATGAAATATCTGCGCCCTTTACGTTACACTGATTTGTCTGTTGACTCTGCCAAATTCAAGTGCCGAAATCAATCCGGTCTTGAGGGAAGAGACAGATGGCCAAAATCTGTATCTTTGCAAGCTCAGGGAGGAGAACCTTTGCACACCGCCCGAATTTATCGACCCGAGGTAAAGAAAACATCAGAAAAATTGATATTTGAATTTAAAAGACGAATTTGGTATTGTGCTGGGGCGAATTCGAGGAAGGCAACCAGAAGCCGACTCTTTTTCTTCTTCAGTCGTCCTTTGTCGGCTGCGTGGACTGCGTACCCAAAACGAGATTGTCCAAACGTCCTAAAGCCACTCTTAGCTTTTATTAAATTACTGTAATTAGCAATATATTACTTGAATGCTGGCAAGTAGCCAGCCGCAAGTTCTGTTGAGTCCTGTTCTGCAATTTGGAGGCGGGCTTGCGGAGGCTCGCTCCTGGCTGCTGTTACCACACCACTGCTTACTCAAAATGATCAGGATACATCTTGCATGTTTTTGTGTGTTGAATATACGCGTTAGGCATGACAATGCGATCCGTACTGTAGGCTTTACTGCAAGATTTGGCGCCGAATACACTTTGTGAGCTTTTACAGTTCCTCGAACCAAGGCCACGCGGTTTTGGGAGCAACAGGACAAG